AATATGATTCATTAACATTATTAATTAAACAATATGAATAACATTTACTAATAAAACTTTGTCTTTCTTAATTGATGACTTTAATAGTTATTTTTTTCACTTGTAATGAAATAAAATTAGCCACATTGTCCCTATACACTAAATTAGTTTTATAAAGGTCTTTATTAAGAAAATAATAAATATCAAATAAATTATTTGATGTTAAAGTACGATTACGAAGATGATTAAAAAAAGTAAATGAGGTAGATGTAACAAATATATCATATTCAATTAATAATTTTAATGGTTTATGTTTTTGATGTAATTTATCTAACTCACTTAAGTTAAAAATATATGATATGCCGTTTTTGATAATATTTTTCATAATGATATTATCAATTTCAAAATACTGTGAATTCTTTAATTTGTAAGACTTATACACTGGTTTAAATTTATTAATATAATTTTTAATAATACTATTATTTTTTATTTTTAATAATCTAACATCACCTAAATTATAAGATAATACAAGGTTTTTAATTTCTAATGGTAAATCATAAAATATCATATAATATTAATATATTTATTTATTTAATTAGTAATTTAATTATGTGTTTAATCAATAATTTCAGGTGTTTCTTCTGGTTGTAATGATTTTAGGTAATCTTGATGTTTTGTTGTTTTTAAATGTCTAGACAAATTCTTCTTAGTCATGACAGCGCCACATTCACAAACAATCAAGTTTAATGGTTCGGTTTGACCCATTTTGATGCTATGTTTTTTAGTTTGTTTATGATATTTTAGTTCATAAATGCACACTATCTCACCGCATTCACATTCTACCTTCTGTCTATGCTTCTCATTAATTTCCTCCTTTTTTCTGTTGTAATAATCTCTTTTACTTTCACTGACTTTTTCCTTGTTGTCAATGGTATATTGTTTTTGATAAGCAATTTTGCTTTCTCTGTTCTTCTGGTAATTTTCTTTCATTTGTTCTAATATTGTGTCTTTCTTATTTTCATAACGTTCTTTTCTATACACCTTAAAATACTCTTCATTTTCTTTCATATAGTTCTTGTTCTTTTCATTCAGTCTATCTCTATTATCATCCCACCATTGTTTTGCTTCTTCATCTGTAATAAATGGCTTTCTGTTATTAAGTGTTGCTTTATGTAGTTCTATATATTCCCTCTCTTTTTTTAATGCGTCTAATCTTGTTTCACAGTTTTCTGTTGAAATTTTAACCATATTCCAATTCTCCCAGTTACCGTTATCACGGATAAACTGATAAACAGGTAGATGGTGCATTTTGTTGTTAGGGTTGGTGCAACTCGTTTTATGTCTGTATTTTCTTTTTGTAAAGTTTAATGTATGACCGATGTATATTTGATTGATACTTAAATCATTACAAACAAGTTTATAGAATATGGTATTTGAATACTCCATACAAACTTTAGGCATTGTATAAGATATTATAATACTTAATCTTTAAATCTTATTCTTCAGATACTTTTAAATAATGTGAAAAGTTTGTCATAAAGATACGGTTAGGGTCTTTTTGGAGAAGGTTAATATATAAAAAGCTATGTGGTTGTTCAGTTGCTTTTTCATATATTTTATAAATTAGTTTCTTGCTTTCGTGTAAATTATCGCTTCTAACAATTGCCGATAATTCATCTTGCAATATTTCTATCTCTTTAAAATTTCTAACTTTATAATAAAACAAATGACTTATATTTACCCTAATAATTGGTGGTACGGTTGATGATTTCTGAAGACTGACAAGCGTTGATATTCCACTATGACGTCCCCTACAGAATAAAGAATTTAACAATTTGTTATTTCTTGTTATTGCTGGGTTATCAGATACATCATCCAATATAACTAATATATTAAATAACTTCTTCATTCCTTGTTTTTTCTGGTATTCAATTATTTTATTTTGAGTTTCTATAACTCTTTCTAAATCTTCAACATTGAACTCATCCCACCAACACGGTTCTTTATCAGTATCTACTTTCAAACCTTCCTGAATGTATTTCTTCACTGGCAACCAAATACTATCCAAATTTACAGATGGGGACCAGATAAAAACTCTTTCAAATGCTCCTCTATAAATATCAAGTATCATTGATACAAGTAAAGTTGATTTTCCAGAACCAGACGGACCTACAATCATAGCTCTCATCGGCAATTTAGGGACTACCTCGTGCTTACTTTGCTTAAAGTCATATTTGATTTCATCAATTGGTTTTACATCAGGCATAATAAAAATAATATTAAAGACATTTAGAAAATAATTTATATTTATTATTTTATATGAATAGAAGTTATTCGGATTATATTGATATAATAGATAAAGTAGAAAATATAGAACAAGTAATACTAACCGATAATAGATTTAAGAAAGTATGCTATTTTGTTTTAGAATTAATTAAGTTTGTGATACAATATATTAAAAATATAAATATTAATATAGATGGGGAGAAAGAAAAAGAATAAGACAGAATCAGTTGTTTCTTCAACTGATGAAGAAAAAGAAGAAGTTGTTAAAGAAACATCAGTTATTGAGTTTGCTTGTCCAATGTGTAAAAAAATCTTAGAAATGAAAAATGAACTAGAAATACAAAAGAAAGGAAACTGTAAATGTTCGTGTATTCCGACAAGTTTCAAAATAAGTAGAAATGATAAGAAAATGAATATTGATAAAACTAAAGACAGTATCAACTTAGAAACAGATGTTCATAATATTACATTTAAATGGGGTCGGAACGCTACTCCATCCGATAATGGTGATAAGGAAACTCAGGAAACTGTTAAACAAATAATGAAAAATTAGTATTTAAAGAGTAGATTTAACATAATTGCAACATTTAGTTTTAAAAGTTTATTTTATGATTTAGTATATGGACAAATTTTCAAGTTTAACAAATTTACATAATGGAGCAATTGAATTAGATAAACAAATTGGAGACAATAATTATAATGGTGTTAGTTATTATACTTGTGAGTGTGGTTGTAAAATAGTCTTAACTCGTACTCAAACTAGAAAATATAACTTTTTATTAATTAGTGTTGGTCTTAGCTATGAATATTTATATCTAGACAAAGCGATAGTATGTGGACATACTCAAAAAGATTTAGATAACATTGTTAGACTTATGGTGCAAGGCAAAGAATTTAAACATATAAGTAACAAAGACCTTCGAAATTAAAACATTTAGTTTTAAAAGTTTAGTTTTATAATTTAGTATATATTTACATGGATGAAGGATTAGAAAAGATTGTGAAAAAACTGAATAAGGTTTTAGAACAGAATAAGAATATTTTAGAAATCTTGCAAGAAATGGAAAAGAAGAAACCAGTAACAAACAGTTATCAAAGTAAAGAAGTAGATAGAACCAATGGGGAATATAAAAATAAGAAACAAGTGTATTTAAACAAACTCAACAACAAAGAGATAAAAGAGCCGAAGTCCTCCACTATGACATTTTATCAAATCGACTATGATGAAGATACAGGGGTTTATTCATAAAGTTGCATTTACTCATAGATAATATTATCTAAATATCTTTAATAATGAACTTATTAGAGATGTTTAGCGGAACAGGCAGTGTTGGACTTGTTGCAAAGTCGCTCGGTTTCAATGTTATTTCATTGGATTTGAAAAATGCTGATATAAATACTGATATTTTGAAATGGGATTATAAACAATTTGATAGGAACCATTTTGATTTTATTTGGAGTAGTCCCCCATGCACTGAATATAGTGTTGCAAAAACTAGGGGAATTAGGAATATCGAATATGCAAATAGTATTGTCTTAAAAACTATTGAAATTATCAAATATTTCAATCCTAAGTATTTTGTAATCGAAAATCCTCAAACTGGATTATTAAAAAATCAGGAGTTTATGGATGAGTTTGATTTTAAAGATGTAGATTATTGTAAATATGGAATGCCTTACAGAAAACGCACTAGGCTATGGAATAACATTACAACTTGGAAACCTAGAGATTTATGTAAAAAGGATTGTGGCAACATCAGGAATAATAAACATATTGAAACAGCACAACGGCTACCATCGGGCACTAAGGAAAAATGGGGAGACAATCCAACAATACATAAGCAGGAAGATTTATATAAAATACCTAGTAGTTTAATCAGTGAAATTTTGGTGAGTGTGATGAACTAAGCACAACCAAAACATAAGACAACCATTGTCAAACAATGGTGACGTTTTCGCAATGTGGTTTCCTCAATGTGATTTTCACAATGTGGTTTTCACATAGGGGTATGTGGTTTTCACATAGGGGTATGTGGTTTTCACATAGGGGTATGTGGTTTTCACATAGGGGTATGTGGTTTTCACATAGGGGTATGTGGTTTTCACATAGGGGTATGTGGTTTTCACATAGGGGTATGTGGTTTTCACATAGGGGGTATGTGGTTTTCACGTAGGGGTATGTGGTTTTCACATAGGGGTATGTGGTTTTCACAATGTGGTTTTCACATCAAGCAATACAGTAGTTTTCTCTTAACCATACTATAATAATAACGTGTAAAATCTTATATGTTATGATTATACTGTACTTATAGTTTGTAAAGATTAAAATATTTTAATTTTTCTTGATTTGGTTATCTCTTTCAAAGTGCGTTGTTTGAACTTGGTATGCTCTTTTGATTTTTTCGTGCTTTGGCTGTTTGTATTTTATTTTGTTTGATACTCTTCTGATATTTTTTGTTGGTATGTTGCTTTGTTTTTGTTGATGTGTGTTTTTGAGTTTGTGTTCTTTGATGGTTTTTATTTTTGCTGTTTTGTTGGTATGCTTGTTTGAATTATTTAATGTTTTATGCTTTGATTAAATATTTTGTTGGGGGTTGTTCTGGTTTTTGAGTTGCTTGGTGGTTCTTATCTTGTTTTCTGTGAATTTTGCTGATTTTGTTGTATGCTGTTTGATTTTTTGGGTTTGATGTTAGAAGTGCCATTTTATGTATTTCCCCCCCCCAAAAAAAAAATGCCTGCGCGCACGCACGCAGTGACAACAATCGCCCTGTCAAAGTTCTCTTCCGGTCTTGCCTTGGGCAGCCCCACAGACCCGCAAGCAGCCGCCCGCACTGCGTTACGTGGCTCCAATGATAAGGGCACCACAAGGCCCTGTACTGCATCACAGCTTGCTGCTCTTCGTCCGGTAGCAGCGACAACCTCAATCCCATCAACAACTTACCGCACAGGGTGCAGAGGTGCAGGTGAGCGGCAGTAGCCTGAACTCCTCCCCCTCTGATCCTCCTTCAGGGTTCCAGTTGTTCATGTTCACCGCCCAGTGGAAGCCTGACACTTGTTTGGCTCGCACGGAGTCGGCCGTCACCAATACTTGGGGCAAGGCGAGCTGCGGCGCGAGCGCCCCAATAGCTGTCGGGTGCCTCCGCAACGGGCAATGCCATGCTGTCATCCGTGTCTCATCCCTGATTGGGTGCTGTTTGTGGTGCTGGTGGAGACCGCCCAATAATTGCAGGTAAAACAACGCACGCCTAATTCAAAAAAGGATGCCAACTTGCGAAACACGCGCAGGCTTGTAAGAAGACTTGCAAGGATAAGGCTTTGTAAGAAGCCTTGTAAAAAGCCCCCGCCGAGATCGGTATGCTTAAGGAACACGGGCTTCACGGGCACGGCTCACGGGCACCACGGGATTCACCGGCCCTGCAAGTGCACACACTGCGCACGCGCACGCACCACGGGCATCACGCACAGGATCACGAGCGCAAGAGTTCAAAGGAACACCACAGGTCCATAGGCCCTGCAGGCTCACGGGCGGCACCACGGGCCCACGGAAATAAAAAAAAAAAAAAAAAAAAAAAAAAAAAAAACAAAAGAATAAAAAAAAAAAAAAAACACAAAAAAAAAGAAAAAAAAAAAAAAAGGCACCACGGGCCCACGGGCGTGGGCCATTAGTGCGTATGGGCACCACGGGTGGCGGCACCACGGGCTCAGGCCAGTAAACACGGCACATGCGCATATGCCCGCAGGCATCACCGGCAGGGGCAGGCCTCAATGCGTGACAAGCTGGCTGGTCAAGGAGTGACCGTCGCAGTGGCCAGGCGACAGGCAGACCCACGTACTCAGCGAACAAGACAGCCTTCCCATAATAAGAATGGAACGTCCCACTCGCCCAACTAAGGTCCCGGGCCAAGCCCTCAAAAGCTTGTCTTAAAACGTAGCGTTCTGCCACTGAAATCTGTCCAGTTTGAACCGTCCTTGAAGCAAAGAAGGAAGGAAGAAGGGGTGGTCAACTAGGCTGAATCCCCTAATCAGAGAACATGTTTGCACGTGTTGTCCTGTTTGTAAGAGTCAGGGCTGGGTTAGATCGAGGGTTCGCGATCAAAGTGTTGGCAGTGTGCGCAAAAGTTTCCTTCGGTGCGGAAGTCTTGCACGAAACACGCCCCGTTGCGGCGCCGTGTGAACTTTGCGCGTGATATCGCTTTGTTGATGGCAGAGACACAGTTCAAAACGCATCTTTTGAGTACAAAAGTAGCGCGCGACTTGTCAGTCATTGTCAGTTCCAACGTAGCACGCGAAGCGCGCTCCCGCGTCTCCGGCTGAAACATCGCAAGTTTCTGCGTGCAAAGGTAGAGCGCGAAGTGCGCTCTCGGAGCTCCAGCTCGAAAATCACAACTTTGCAAGAACGGGGGTAACGTTCGGCAAGTGCACGCTCGCATCTCTGCCTCGCAAATTGCAACCTTAAAATGCAAAAGCAGCACTTGAATTACACTTCCGCATCTCCAGCTTGAAGATCACAACTTGCAAGCGCGAAAATAGGCTCCGAAGCACACTTCCGCAGAAAAACCGCCAGAGAGGTTCAAGAGGGAGCATCACGCACAGCATCGTGGGCAACATCGTGCACAGCGTCATGCACAGCGTTCAGGCGCAACATCATGCCATAGCAATCGTGCGCAGCATCACGCACAGCATCAATTCACAGCATAGCAAGAGGATGGGACACTGCCGTGTTGACGTTTTTTTGGGGTCTCTTGCCGTGACAACCGTGACAGTTGAAGAATTTGGGGCCGAGCTCAATGAATCACCTTCCAACCCCAGGGCCCAAGCCTGTCAAAAATCTGTACCCGCAGCCCCTGACTGGCCTCGGCACACCTTTGGTCGGATTCAAGTGTCAAATTCAGGTGTCAAGCCTTGGTTGCTGTTGACCCCCTGCAAAAAGTTTAACTTTTTGGTGGCTTAGTGGAAAACCCCTTGATTTCCCCAAAAAGTCAAAGTCTACAAATCCAACCCAATAGCAGTAAAGAAGCTCTTTGTGTAATTGCGGTGGCTCTTCGAAGCTGGCTTTCGCGACATCGAAAACGCTTGCATCGGCCAGCAGAAGAAAGTAGCGCATCACATTAGCAGGCGTCCAGCGCATGACGGCCCCCGGGCACGAGCATCACGGGCACCACGGGCACGGGCTTACTGGCACCACGCGCAGGTACGTTCTGGGACCGCGCCCGTGGTGCCCGTTGTTGTGTTCGCGAATTAGGTGCCCCTCGTGCTGGTGGGTGTTGCTTGTGGCTCATGGTAGTTGTCCACATCGTGGTCACAACTTTCCCGATGCAGCTGCCTTTCATTAGCATGATCGTCCCATGTTTGCTGGCGGACCCCTCAAGGAAAGCGACAATGAATCAAGCGTTTGGCGAACGAGCCATGGTCAACCTTTTTTTTAACATGGCTGCCGCTGGCCTGGGAAATGGGACAGTAAACCATGCTGATTGCTGCTAGTGATGTGGTGACTTAATTCCCATCATCATAATTCCAAAAGATGATGGGAGTGACTCTGAACTTGTCAGTTTCTCTCCCTCCCTCTGTCTTCAGCATCTTCAAGCTGGTCGCGCACGAGCCAACTAAGCTTTCTCATGGGGGCATGATCCTGCACAGCTTGGATGCTCCATGTTGTCACCGCATGCTGCCGTGGCCTTCTCATGGTTGCGCTTCTTGTTCAAGCTTGAGTTCCCCCTACATACAGTAAGGTTTAACAAATTGGTTCTAGCGAGCTACTTGCCTGACTCATGTGCTCATTCAGGAATTCAGGGACACCGTTCTCCAAACACAGCTCTACCTGCCTCTTCAGCATTGCGCTTTGTGGCCATCGGGGCTCTCTTTCTGTTTTGACTGGCTGGCCCATTCATGCATTGCCTGATTTGATGCATGCATCCGCACCTCCATGGAGAATAACCTCAACTCTGCCAGCAACTCATCGGGCGCCGGGGAGAGCCAAGTGCTCGCACTTTGCCCCATGGCGCCAGCTCTCCGCTGGGTCCGGCCAACTGCCCGCCCGTTGGACGCAGAACATACAGGCAAACTGTGCAAGAAGCTCGGTACTTAACCATGCTTTCCCAATTCTGCTTGTACCTGGAAGCCTGGCAAAGTTTTCCTTCACATGATTGAATGCTGTGTTGCACCTCTGAGCTTCCGAGCCATTTCGCAAATACACCGTGCACAATGCACCCCGGTTGAGCCCTCCGATGTCCACGCTGCTTTTTGGGCACGTTGGTTCGCTTCCGCCTCGCTTCGCCTTGCGGCTGCCGGCGCTTCTCCGGCGCAGGGGCCTTCTCCGGCGCCTCGGCGACGTCCTCGCGACCTTGGGCTTGGTACCTCGGCCGTGTGGGCGGCGCCGTCGGCGCCGTCGGCGCCGGCGGCACGGTCGACAGCGCCGGCGCTGGCGCCGACGGCAGGGCCGCTGGCGTCGCCGCGCCCGGCCGTAGGAGGCCCCAGATGCCTCGGTAGCGCCTGGCAAAGGGCTCACGCTCAGGCGCGGCCCCAGGATTCGGCAGCCCAAGGCCCGTCAGCAGGACATCATGAAAGTCTGGCAGCCTAAGTAGCTGCCGTAGCAGACCTGGCTCAGGCAAGGCCAATCTGACTCAGCTTTCCATCAGTCACCGTTGTTTCAAAAGCAGCTAAAATGAAATGTTGATACAGACAAACGCACACACACAGACAGACAGACAGACAGACAGACACGCACAATACACAGGCACAATACACACCACAGTGGACCAAGACCCACCGTCATGAAGATCTAAGCCAGCCAAAAAGCCCCTAACTTAAACAACCCCCCAGCAGCTCCCAACTGCCACCAATCACAGCCAATAGGCAACAACCCCAGGGCAAGGTGAGGCTGGTGATGCCGGGATGCGGCCAACCAACCAACCAACCAACCAACCGACCGACCAACCAACCAACCAACCAACCAACCAACCAACCAGCCCTAATTTTGAGAAAAGACCTAGTAGAAAAAAACAATCCTGCACACCACAAGTGCCAAAAAAAAGAGTCCATTTGGCGTTGCAGCGCCGAGGCTCAGTCTGCTTCTCTCAGGGCCCCTGTCTTGGCAACCGGAAGATTGCAGCGCGTGTCGCTGACACCGTGAGCGCCCTGCATCTTCAGCAGCATCTGCAGGGCACCTCATGCACTTGCTTCGTGCCCACTCAGCTTTGCTTTGCAACATCTGCCAAGCCTTTGGGAGGTTCACCAACGCTTGGCTCAGCAGCTGCTCGCTCCTGACAGCGAACACTGTTTATGTCTCACAATAGCTTCACCAGCTGCACGCACCCACGTGCCTTCTTCGCAGGCACGCTGGGGGCGCGCATTGGAGGCGGCATCGGGCCTCCGGACAGGGCACAGCAAGCCCATAGGCCCGTGGCAACAGAAACAGCAACACGCGCAACCACGCAGCAAATGTCAACGGCCTGACCGCCTGACCTCACTCTTCTCTCGCCTGGGAGGACCGGCTCCACAAAGGGGGTCGGCGGCTGAGTTGGCTCCAGCCGAAACGGGGAGGGCGGTGAGGGCGGAGAGTGGATTTGCGGGGTGTGGGGGGTGCGGGGGGTGTGAGCGTGCGGCAAGCGCGGCGAGGGCGTCGGCCTCAAACCTGGAGATGTGTCTGGAGTTGGCGGGACTTCCAGCATCGGAGACGGCAAAGGCAAAGGTGTAGCTGGTGCAGCTGGTGCAGCTGGTGCAGCTGGTGCAGCTGGTGCAGCTGGAGCTGCTGGCTTGGGGGCTTCGAGATCGGCTGGTTCCTCTATCTCTTCGAGCTCAAAACGCCGCCCAAGACCAACAGCCGCAAGGACCTCATCCGTCCAGTCCACATCGAAATCCGTGAGCGCTCTCATGAGATGCTGCAAGCTATGCGCCGTTGCTGCTCGGCAGCCCCATTGCCCCGAGCAGCTTCGCACAGACTCTTCTCGCTGTTTTGCTGGGCTGGCTGATTGTGATGCATGGTATTGCCATATCTTTCCTGCCTTGATCACCACTAGAGTAACATCGATGAAAGCTGGGTGTATGCTGCCTCCCTCAGAGATTCGCGGCAGCGTAAATCTGTGCGTCAGGCACGGCATGAGCAGCTCAGAACAGCTTGTGCCAAGAGATTGAGTGGGCCATGCAGAAACGCTCGCGCATGGAGCACTTTTGCGCGAAGCGTTCCTCTTCAACGCCAAATCCAGGGCTATCTTGTGAGCAGGAAGCATGCTGCTGGAGGCAGCTCGAAGACATCTTACAATTAGTTCACAGCTTAAGGGAGGTCATGGACAGGTCCAGACCTCAGCAAGAGACCTGGCTTAGATTCCCCTGCCCGACGAAGCAAGGCATCTGCAGAGCACGGGGAATGCCAAGTTGCATGCAATCACACGGGCAAATCATCCATCTTGGACAGCCAGTGTGATCTTCTCAACTCTACTTGATTTCAGGCACGGCAAGCCAGGCTGTACAAATCCTCTGGCTCGGAGGAATGAATCTGTAAAAATGAAGCCGCTCCACTCAGGCAGTTCCAGCGCCGCCCCTGTTCAATCTACGCAGTGCTCTGTGCACTGTAGCAAGCATCCCGTAGAGCATAACAAGGTGAGAACTGCAGCATGCACTGCGCTGGTCACATCCATATTGCACCTCGAAAGGCCGAGCCAGGTGAACGGCAAAATTTTGGATGCCCACCGCGGCATCTAGAGCTGGCGCACACCATCAAGCGAATTCCATGGCAGTGCAGACTGTAGGCAGCCCCGGGGATCATTCCGCACGGTCTGCAGACTTCGTGCGGTGGGCCGCCTCACCGCAGTGTGTAGACTTGGCAGCTGTAAGGGTGCAGGAACCTAAAGCCGCGACATCGGAAGCCAACAAAACAGCACCATACCGAGATTCGTGCGACATGTCGCGCAAGTGAATCAGCTTTGTGAAACAACGAAGGATAATGACAATGACAGGCCACGAACAAAACCGAAAGCAAAGACGGGATCCGCGGGAGGAACAAATTGGGTTCAAAGAAATGGAACGCAAATAGCCAAAGCAACTCGAATTCTAGCTTGCATTTTCTTGAATGGAGAACCGATGGAAGCTTAGGCAGGCAAGCCCCTTAGTGCCCTCAGTGCCCTTAGTGCACCGGAGTGTTTGGAGAAAATGTATGACAATGTGAGAACTGTGAGAACTGTGAGAATGAGGGACTTCGAGGGACCTGGGTTCGTACTTTGGCCAAGCGACGCGTCAGTGCCCAAGCTGGACGCAGACCTCTCCCTGCTCTGTGGCCCACCCTGGCCAGGGTCCTTGAGCTCGGAACTGCGGAAGACCGTGGCGACGTTGTGGTACCGCGCATCGGCCGTGTTCACGGCAAGAGTCCATGCCACAGGGGCCACAGCACCCGGAAACGCGACGGGATAACCCGCCAAGGCCTGGCCTTGGAAATTGAAGATGGCGAAGACATCGCCACCGCTTGCAGCACTTGCAGCGCTTGCAGCACTTGCGGCCTCATCCACTTCAGTGTGCCACCGGTGGATGGTCAAAACCTTAGCCTCCTCGTCGATGGTCACGTTCACACCAGTACCGAGAAGCCCCCGGCTCGTTTTCAGCAGGTTCCGCCTGAGTTTGATGAGGTCCTGGTGCAGCTTGAAGGTGCCCGCGTGCGTCAGCTTGTGCAGCCAGTTCGTGGGCTTGTAGGCAGTGAAGGGCTCCTGGAGAGCGAAGTCCTGGCCCTGGAAGATCATGGGAATGCCGGGGCTCAGCAGAGTCAGCGCCGAGCCCAGAGCCGACAGCCGGCTGCCAACCCAGCTGTCCCGCCCTGCGATGGCCAGAGGCAGGCGGAAGCGGCTGGCCTCGTCGTGGCTCTCCGTGTAGATCACCCGCCGCAGGCCTTCGCCAGCGCCCAGCACCGCCTCCCGAAGCTGCGCCATGCTGCGCCAATGGTCCGGCCGCTTCAGCTGGTTCAGCACCGTCCAGTGGAACTGCCCGTCCCACTGCGAGTCGAAGCCCAGGCCGTGAGTCCGGCTGGTGAGCGAGCTGTTGGACTGCAGGTCCTCTGCAATCAGCAGCTTCCCGGTGCGTTGCACAGCCTGGCTCAGCTCCTTCAAGAAGCGCTCCCCCTCCGGGTTGAAGGTGGCCAGGCTTCGGTTGACCACCGTGCCTCCCCAGAGCCGGATGAAGCTGACGCCATCCACTCGCAAGCCATCGCAGTGCATCGCGTTCAGCCAGAATAGCGCGTTGTCGATGAGGTACGCCCTGACCTCTTTCAGTCCGTAGTTGGGCCGTGTGTGGGCCCAGGGCGTCTCTGCCCGGTGGTCGTTGTAGAAGAAGATCCCGCCCAGGCCGTTCTCGGACCAGCCATCGAACTGCCAGGTGGGCAGGTCCATGGGCCCCAGGTGGTTGTACACCACGTCCAGCAACACGGCGATGCCCCGGCCGTGGCAGGCGTCCACGAAGCGCTTGAAGGCATCCGGGCCCCCGTAGGCCTCCTCAACCGCGTACGGGTAGGCCGTGGTGTAGCCCCAATCCACCTTGCCGTCAAACTCCGCCACCGGCAGCAGCTCCACCGCGTTGATACCCAGCTCGACCAAATGGTCCAGCTTGTGGATGCACATGTCTAGCGTTGCTGACGTGAGCCAACCAGGGTACGCACAGAAGGTTCCCACATGCAATTCGTAGATGACAAGCTCGTTCCAGTCAGGCATGGACCACCCGGAGTCGGTCCAGTGAAACTTGTCATCAAAGTAGGAGATGGAGTTCCCCAAGGGCGTGCCGTCCTGTGAACGAGACCAAGGGTCTGGGCGCCAGTATGTTTCCCCAGCGGAGACAATGTGGATCTTGTAGGCAGCGCCCACCCGGAGGAGGTAGTCTGTCGTTGGGTCGCTGGACATGTTCAGCTCCCACCAGCCTTGCCCTACATCCACCAAATCCACAGGGTGCCAGCTAGTCCATGAACCTGCCAGTGACACTTGCTGGGCATGCGGAGCGTAGATCTTCGCAACAGCACCGCCTTGAGGCAAGGGATGGAATCCTTCCCCGTGCCGACCCAAGCAAGCCTCCAGATTCCATGCCAGCAGCCTGAGAACGGTGTGGCTTTGCAATTAAATGCGAATTGCCAGCAAGCAATTTCGAAAGAGGAAGTAGGTTGCTTGAGCGAACCAAAATGCAGCCAAGCAGCAAGAACATGAGCCATGGCCGAATGGTTGTCATTGTCCGCAGGTCACGCGGATTCGGCCGATGACACAGCCGCTGCACGCATTTGAACCAGTTCAGAAGCGGTATGACTGGGTCTTGCGGGCCAGGGCAGCACACAACATTGGAGTCGTGCTTTAGCCAGGAAACAAACTGGTGTCTTCAAAAAAAGGCGCGAACAACGATGGCATTGCAAAACACCTAACACATCCTAACACCTAGCATGCTGCGCTTCTGACGCGGCCTTCCAAAATCAGGACGCGAATAGATTTTGCCAACAAATTGAAAGCAACCCCCGTGCAACCACAAGGTCTGAAAAGGGCAGGGCAACCACTCTGCACTGTCCACTTTGCCCCGCGACTGCGCTCCGCAAACGCGCTGGGCGTGACGCGCGCGGTTCAGGTTCTGAACTCTGCGCAGGCCCGATCAGCTTCGCCGGAGGCCACGGGCGGTCTTCGCCCACGTCGCTTCACTTCACCTCAGGCCAGGCGCGGGCCCGCGCATAAAAAAAGGAAACACAAAAACTCACCGAGAGTCGTCCAGATCTCTGCCGAAGACTTTGTGACCCACCTGGCCGCACCAGCTCAGCCCGCTCACCCAGGCATCGGAGCGGAAGCAGGCCTCTTCCGATCTCATTGGATGGCACTTCCCGTAGAAGTTTTCCAGGTGATCAACTTCTTCGGCGACCTCCGGAGGAAATCACTGAAAGGCCTTGCTTCCTTGCTCCCTCACTCTGCTGTCGAATAACTAAAAAACATTCTGACATACCTACCTTCCTTTGCCTGTGCAACGTAATCCGTGATTGGACAACAAGTCATGCCATTGCCACACTCAAGTTCGCACTGCAAGCTGCCTTTTCCAGCTCAAACCTCAGGAGGCGCGTGATGTAGTCATGATCATGGACCTTCTTCGTCTCAGGGTACCTTGGTGGCCCCAAGAGCTCCCGCGTTGCGCGTTGCGCTTTGCGCTTTGGTGGCTGCCGATGGCCAAGGCGCTTGTCCAAAGTTTGGTGGACGATGTCCCCATTCAAGACGTAGATCAAAGTCGGCTCGACGCATTTCACCTGCGTCCCATTTTCTTTTGTTTAAAACTTGGCCTGCAAGCACATGTTGCCCAGGCGCAGTTGCAGTCCGGCGCTTGTCGGATCCAAAGACGGCCACATCCCCTCACGCGGGAGGCCAAACGAGAAATGCCCAAGGAAGGACACGTCAAGGTGGATTGCAAACTGGCGGAAATGCTTGGCGTGCCCAGAACAACTCCGCCGCCGAGCTCTGCCACCTTCTTGCTCCCTTTCCTTGGTCCAGACAATTCAAGCTTCAAAGCCGAACACAGATCAAAGGAGAAGGAGAAGAAGGCAAAGCCGGCGCAACATTCGACATTGTGACCTGAAATGGAAGCCAAGTAGCAACACTTCCACTTTCCCCAAGTGCACAATGAACATTTCAAAGCCCATTTCACCCTCCTGGCAGATGTCAAGCCAACTTACCTCTGCGTGGTGCACGCGATTTACAATTGCTCCTTCATCAGCGCCATGCCCGGATAGTACAGCCTGGGCACGGGTCGCTCTCAGCTGGGCTGCGACACTCCGGCGCCTGGGCTCCAAGTGCTCGCAGGTGTGCTTCACGAAGGCTCGCTCCTGACATCGAGTGCCATCCCGGGATCCCGGGTGCAAGGCTTGACTCATTGCAGTTGCAACATACGAACAGCGCTCCATCTTGGCAAAGCAAGGCAAGTCGCAGAAGGCGTCGGTGTCGCCTGTCGGAATGGCGGCAATGGCGGCAACGGATCGAACTGGTGCCGGGCCAGACAGATTCTGCATCTTCTCCAGGTGCTTGAGCAGTGGGTACTCCTCAAGCCCTCCTCACGAATCTAAGGGAGGCATGACCATGACCCCCCCTCCCCCCCCCAAAAGAAAAAACACGTAGAAGAGAGCCACAGGGCCTGTCCTTTCATGTCCACCAAGGCGTCGAAGGCCAAGCGAGACAAGAGCAGCACCGAGGAATTCTCTGCGCAGTGGCACCCATGGCTCCGCAGCTCGCTGACGCCCAGCATGCCTCGCCGCTTCGGCTACGGCCTGCTATCTCGCCACTGGCTCATAACAAGACTTGCTCAGGCCGCGGCCCATGTCTCCGCATATGCCTCCCGGAGAAACTTCACCTGTTTGGCTGGGAGCCCCATCGAATAAAGTGAGATGGGAAGGAGACCTAGAGCTTGCCAAGCTGCCGAAGACTATGGGAGGTGCCGCTGGGTCGCGTAGAATCGTCTTCTCCAGCCGCCCAGAAAGCACGATGCACATCCAGTCCCCTGGGCACGGCTCCTACAAAACCCTGCGCTCGCGCTTTGAAGGGCGGGCTTGGCACATTGGGACATGCGACTTGTGTCCAACCCACGGCTTTCCACTGGAAAGCGGCTTCCCTCAAAACGCGGGCCTCGCCTGGCTGGTTCTGGCGGAAAATGACGGCGCCCTGCGGCAGATCCATGGGGACCACGGCCTCGCAAAGGCTCTGCCGCAGCGCCTCGGGCGCCGCCTCGAAGAGGACAATCTTCCTGGGAAAAACGTACAAAAGGGATGCCACACTGTGGGCATTTTGCATACTGAGGTCAGGTAGTCTCTCAACTTGTGCTTCGCACATGTTCGTAGTAGCCCGACAAATCCACCCAGGGGATTGCGCGCTCGTTGCTGTTGCTGTTGCTGTTGCTGTTGCTGTTGCTGTTGCTGTTGCTGTTGCTGTTGCTGTTGCTGTTGCTGTTGCTGTTGCTGTTGCTGTTGCTGTTCCTGTTCCTGTTCCTGTTCCTGTTGCTGTTGCTGTTGCTGTTGCTGTTGCTGTTGCTGTTGCTGTTGCTGTTGCTGTTGCTGTTGCTGTTGCTGCTGCTGCTGCTGCTGCTGCTGCTGCTGCTGTTGCTGTTGCTGTTGCTGTTGCTGTTGCTGTTGCTGTTGCTGTTGCTGTTGCTGTTTCTCCTGCTCCTGCTGTTGCTCCTGCTGTTGCTCCTGCTGTTGCTCCTGCTGTTGCTCCTGCTGTTGCTCCTGCTGTTGCTCCTGCTCCTGCTCCTGCTCCTGCTCCTGCTCCTGCTCCTGCTCCTGCTCCTGCTCCTGCTCCTGCTCCGGCTCCGGCTCCGGCTCCGGCTCCGGCTCCGGCTCCGGCTCCGGCTCCGGCTCCGGCTCCGGCTCCGGCTCCGGCTCCGGCTCCGGCTCCGGCTCCTCTCTGCTCTGTCTCTGCTCTGTCTCTGTCTCCGTCTCCGTCTCCGTCTCCGTCTCTGTCTTTGTCTCTGTCGCTGTCTTTGTCTCTGTCTCTGCCTCCGTCTCTGCTCCGTCTCTGCTCTGTCTCCGTCTCCGTATCCGTCTCTGCCTCTGTCTCTGTCTCTGTCTCTGTCTCCGTCTCCGTCTCCGTCTCCGCATCCGTATCTGTCTTTGTCTCTGTCTCCGTATCCGTCTCTGTCTCTGTCTCTCTGCCTCTGTCTCTGTCTCTGCCTCTGTCTCTGCCTCTGTCTCTGCTCTGTCTCTGCTCTGTCTCCGTCTCCGTCTCCGCATCCGTATCCGTCTCTGTCTTTGTCTCTGTCTCCGTATCCGTATCCGTCTCTGCCTCTGCCTCTGTCTCCGTCTCCGTCTCTGCCTCTGCCTCTGTCTCCGTCTCCGTCTCTGCCTCTGCCTCTGCCTCTGTCTCCGTCTCTGTCTCTGCCTCTGCCTCTGTCTCCGTCTCTGTCTCTGCCTCTGCCTCTGTCTCCGTCTCCGTCTCTGCCTCTGCCTCTGTCTCCGTATCCGTCTCTGCCTCTGCCTCTGTCTCCGTCTGTGTCTCTGTCTCTGCCTCTGCCTCTGTCTCCGTCTCTGTCTCTGCCTCTGCCTCTGTCTCCGTCTCCGTCTCTGCCTCTGCCTCTGTCTCCGTCTCCGTCTCTGCCTCTGCCTCTGCCTCTGTCTCCGTCTCTGTCTCTGCCTCTGCCTCTGTCTCCGTCTCTGTCTCTGCCTCTGCCTCTGTCTCCGTCTCCGTCTCTGCCTCTGCCTCTGTCTCCGTCTCCGTCTCTGCCTCTGCCTCTGTCTCCGTCTCCGTCTCTGTCTCTGCCTCTGCCTCTGTCTCCGTCTCTGTCTCTGCCTCTGCCTCTGTCTCCGTCTCTGTCTCTGCCTCTGTCTCCGTCTCCGTCTCTGCCTCTGCCTCTGTCTCCGTCTCTGTCTCTGCCTCTGCCTCTGTCTCCGTCTCTGTCTCTGCCTCTGCCTCTGTCTCCGTCTCCGTCTCTGCCTCTGCCTCCGTATCCGTATCCGTCTCTGCCTCTGCCTCTGCCTCTGTCTCCGTCTCCGTCTCTGCCTCTGCCTCCGTATCCGTATCCGTCTCTGCCTCTGCCTCTGCCTCTGTCTCCGTCTCCGTCTCTGTCTCTGCCTCTGCCTCTGTCTCCGTCTCCGTCTCTGCCTCTGCCTCTGTCTCCGTCTCTCCGTCTCTGCCTCTGCCTCTGTCTCCGTCTCTGCCTCTGCCTCTGTCTCCGTCTCCGTCTCTGCCTCTGCCTCTGTCTCCGTCTCCGTCTCTGCCTCTGCCTCTGTCTCCGTCTCTGCCTCTGCCTCTGTCTCCGTCTCCGTCTCTGCCTCTGCCTCTGTCTCCGTCTCCGTCTCTGCCTCTGCCTCTGTCTCCGTCTCCGTCTCCGTCTCTGCCTCTGTCTCCGTCTCCGTCTCTGCCTCTGCCTCTGCCTCTGTCTCCGTCTCTGTCTCTGCCTCTGTCTCCGTCTCCGTCTCCGCAGCCGTATCCGTCTCTGTCTCCGTCTCTGTCTGTGTGCACGTGTTTGAGTTTGCTGGCGGGCTTGCCTTCGCGGATCTTCGCGGGTACCCACGGGCGGGGGTGTGGGTGGGTGTCAGCGCTAGAGTCGGAAACTGCAGCGGGAAGTTGGATGACAGGATGCCGCCTGGCCGCAGTTTGCCTGCGCGTGCGGGACTTTGCAACTGAGCGGCTTGAGCAGAACCATGAAGTCCCTTCGCATTTCTGGGCTCTGCATGGATTTGTCCTCAGCTCGAAGTGACTCACTTGCCAAAAGCCTGGAGATCCGGGGTGAGCCAGCGAATCAACCAGGGTCAGTCAGCCAAAGAAGCGTGTTTCCTGCATTTTTGCTCTGGGCAGATTTGCGGCGTCACCTTGCCCTAGACCGCTGTCATAACCCCCACTCCCCGGTCTGACAAGACGCCCACTTCCGGACCAAGTCCTGACACATGGGAACGAGACACACAGCGCCAACTGCGCAGCCCTGGGAGACAATGACTGTACCCTCCTTATCGTGGACTGGCAGCCCATGGGACCGCAAGTGTGTATCCATGGCTTTGGAATGCTGCGCCTCAATCACAAGAATGGCTAAAGCTTGGAACCTGCTTTCTGGTCTCTTGAATTGGCCAACACCATGAATTGGCACAAGCAGCTTCGGACACAAACAGCTGAAGCAACCTTCATTACAGACTGCAATGCCTATATAATTCCCAGGCATGCTGGCCGTGGCAAGTGCATGCATGAATGCACTGAAGTACCTGCCTCCCCGCCGGAATTGTTCAAACCTCTTTTAGATGCCTGAACAAGCGATACCTTGACATGCGGCCGGTTGCGATTTGCAACCGAGCGCCCGTCAGGCTTTGGATACGCACAAGATTCGGGGTGTAGCTGGGTTCCGCCTATCACCGCTTCTCATGCGTCGCTCGTGCCAGACCGTCAACTGTTGCAAACGGCTCACATGCATGACACGCTATGCGGCGCACTCATCCGCGGTAGAATCACCCAAATTCGGGCAAGCTGAAGAAAAACTAACATCCCTGCTTGAGCGCCAACTGGCAGCTGCCAAGGCAAACAAGCTTGTCATCAGCAGTTGGATACACATGCGCCAATGCATTGCCTATGATGAGAACACAGGCCATGTCTGAAGTGGTGAGTGAAACTGCAGGAAAGAGACATCCGCTGAAACTTACACCTCTGCCGCATCGTCAGGCAGCTGCTGCACCTGCCAAATAAACGCAGTCCGCAGACCAGCATGCAGCGTGCCCCAAGCATCTGAGCCAAGCACATCTTCCTCGCCTGCGCTTGCCTGAGCTACACACATTGACACAAGTCGCGCAACTTGTGCCCAATCCAAGGCGCCCCGGTGCCGCGCAGGCTCACCGGCTCCCCACGAAGCTTCCTGCAACCCGGAGGGCCAGACATCCAAGACGGGAGAAATCCCCTGACGACAGCTCCCGTCCTGGCTTCGGCACCTGGGCCCATGCCCCCCGATGCACCGATGCACTGATGCACCGATGCACAGCAGAAGGATTTCACATGCAAGCTTGGCTCATCTTAGCTCGAGCGTCTGTTGTAGTCTGGGCAGCCATGGTTCTTGCAAATGCTGCAGCAGGACGGGTCGCAGCAGCCACATTGGCAGGTCGACTTCCAGGCCTAGCTGAGGCCCGCGGCACCCAAAACGAGCTTGACATCGTCCCGATTCCCGGCCCTTAGGCCCTACGCAGCGTTACGGGATCCACCAGTCCTCTCCATGCGATTTTGGGATGTCAGGATCCTGCCCTCAAATGTAACGAGAATGCCCGCTTCGCGGCGAGACCTTTCATCTTTCAGACGCATGCAGCGGACCAGAATCAACAACGGGTCATTCACATGACATGAACCATGTCAACTCCAATGCCAAATGTAAAACACGATTTGTTTCCCCTTGGGAGAACAAAGGCATGAGGCGACAGGCGCAACGACAACATCCACTTGGCACATGCGCAGCGGTGCCCTCCAATCAAACAACTGCTTGCCCCTCGAACTAGGGTCAACATCATTGCCGGCCTTGTTCGCACATCAGCTGGCGGCAGTTTGGAACAGCAGCGCCATAAGCACGACAACCAAAGCGCGCATAGACCTGATCTAGCCATCCCATCGGAAAGCAACGCTTCCCATTGCGCAACCATGCGTGCCGCAAGATCGAAAGAATTGCAGCCCGGGGTGCTCGGCTGCAGCGTCCGAGTAGCTTGAAGCCACTCTCAAATTTCTTGTTTGAGCCACAAGCTGCGTTGAAGTGGAATCATAAAATGCAGGAGCGAATTACCCAAGTCCTGCGGCAAGCAAGCGAGCAACAACCCACAACAAACCACTGCAGAGTACAAAACTAGGACATCCCATGCACAGGCTTGCTGCCCTTGTATCCTGTTGATGCGGTGTCATGGAGTCATGGGGCTTGTACGGCTTGCGCATCAAGCTGATACATTCGTTCTGAACTGCATAAGGAAGATTAGCACAGCGCCGTGCAAATGCTGGCGCGCTCTGCGCACCGTTGCGGGATGGATCCGCGACACAAAGCCATCTGCCGATGCAGATTTCAGACCGAAAGCACCGAATGCACGAGCACAAGCCAATTTCAGGACCTGGGATGCGATATGCAAGCTCCACGAAAAACCAGTTCCACGAAGCGCCTCGAAGAGCTTTACGAGGCCTCGCTGGCCTGCCCGGCCCAATCTGGCCCAACCACCCCTCTGGCGCACTCTACACACTCGCTCCTCTGGGACTTTGGTATCTTTGGTATCTTTGGTATCTTTGGTTGCCTCAGCCTTCTCGCCCTCCGCACCCTCTTTCTCCTGTGTGCAAGAGGCTCCAGGTCTTCCGAAGCTTCGCCGCGCCTCTGCCTTTGGTTCCTCGCGGGCCAAGGGCAACATGTAGAGGTACCACCTCCAGGGAGACACAAGTCCAACTCCATTTCAAGATCCCAATGCTCTTGCATGCTCTTGCGCTCACCCAGGCAGGATGATGGCAAGAATGGAAAGGATATTGAGCCTCATTCGCCAAAGGCTGCTAGCACATTTGCGCAAGTGTCCGCTTCACGGCAGGCTAGGTGGCCGGCATGCCCACCAGCTTTTTCTCTGAATCACCTGCCCGCGTCAAGTAACAGCATCGCGTAACAGCCTCACAAAGCTTGCCTTCTATGCTCTCTGCCGAACCCTGGACAGCCATGTAGACCTACGGGTCCAGGAGAATTGCGTTTCTCAAGACAAAATTGCCGTCAAGCAACTGCTGTTTCCCACGAGAAGGCGAGGATCAGCGCGGCCATGCTCACAAAGGTTTCCCACACCATCCAGCCTGCGATCCAAATCCCATCCTCCCGTGCGCCCAATGGCAAAAATGGCACCGAGCGGCGCATGCTATTCATCATCTGTCCAGCAATCATCGGCACGAAAACCATGGCCTTGGCCCAACAAAAACCTGCGACTGGACCCTAAGCCATCCGCACCGAGTGACCGAGTGACCGAGTGACCGAGTGACTGAGTCTCGACTGAGTGCGCAAACGGCTCGCGTAGGCCGCGGCCGCGGCAAAAGTCGCCCCGGGGCAGCGGCGGAGCCCACCAATGCCAAGCCGTTGGAGGCCGTCAGCTTGGCCGTGTGGTGGGTCCCGGACTCGTCGGCCGTCATGTGCCACAGAACCCACCTGACAACAAAACGCCGGCGTCGTGTGGGCTTCGCGGGACTTCTGACAGGCCACTGGCTGCCATAAAATACCTTGGCCCACTTTTCGCACGGACGCACGGCGCATGGAGCGAAACAGCATGCTCGAAGCAACTGCGGAGAAGTGGCCAGCCAAGCCAATGCCATCCAAAGGCTTTCTGAGACCGTCCTGCAAGCCCCACTCTGGCAGTCAGCACGTATTTCCTTACTCTGTGGCCTCAAATGGGCTCCTTAACTTTGAGCCTGTCTTTGAACTTTGCCAACTCATAGAGTGATAAGCAACTGCACTGTTCAGGTGTTTGAATGATTGCTTCCCTCAAAGTGGCTCAGGGCCTCAGGGGCTGGAGGCTTCAAGGGCGCTTGAGAGTGTGCGTGCGCCGAGCTCCGGAGCCAACCCTTACGGGCACAGCATCTACCGTGTGCAACGAAGCTACGCCAGTTCCTGTACCTGCTCGTGCAGCAAAGTCTACTTAGTATACTTGGGCCCGCTGAACTGCAGTTGCTGGATGTGTCCCTGTTAACATTAAGCCACCTTGACTCGACCATATTCGACATGGACATTGATTGGCTTACTCCCGTGTGTGCATGTGTATGTGCATGTGCATGTGCATGTGCATGTGTATGTATACGTATGTGTGTGTGTGTGTGGGTGTGTGTCCGTGTGTCTCAGTGGGGCTGGGGGCTGGCTCGCGCTGGGAAACGCATTTCAACTGTCGCATCTTGGGTTGTGTGCCGTATGCTTTGCAACCTGCTATTCTCTGGGAGACCGCCATTGCTGCAGCCCAGGTGCCAACACGAAAACGACTTCCCTGGACCGGGCAAAAACTGACACACGGCGGCCTCATTGCCCGCTTGAGCACCGCCTGACCTTCGCGCCTGGGAGAAACGCAGCAAACAAAGTGAGCGAGCCGCGTAGCAATGGCAAATGAAGCCTGGGAGGCCTATACAATTTTATATAGTTGCCCATATGAGCCCACCGGGCGAGCAAACCATCAACCTCCGAGGCTTTGGCCCGTTGACATGTGGAATCACTGCCCATTCCTGATCGACGCACATCGCCGGAAACTCAAGTTGGCTGCACGGCTGGGTCAAGCATGCCGGGGGTGCCATGCCAACTGCACAGGCAGCCGTGAACATGGCATATCCATATAGGTAACTCCTCGCGTGGGGCGAGCCACAAGACATTCTGGTCAACATGTGAAGAAAGACGGGCGCGAGCGCCAAGAGCATCCAAGCGCTTGGCACATCATCCCCAGTCACTTTGCGTCCATATCTGGCGCCTGGGACGGCCTGCAGCTGCCATGGTTGGCGCAAAACATGGCCTGGGGCTCCGCAACTCAGCGCCCGACACCAGTGACGGCAAAGCGTACCCACATCGAAATCAGGAACCCAACCTCACTCAGCCCACAGCAGCTAGCCCCGTCACTCAGCCCGGAGCAGCTAGCCCGACACGGAAATCCCCGGTAGGTCGCGGGCCACAAATCCAGTTGCTTGAATCTCCATCTTTTCGACCAGCTGCATCCAGGGTGAAGCCGGCCTTTGCAAGGTAGGCTGTCAATAAATAAAGCAGCACGCTCCCTGGTCCCTCACGCGTCGCTGACAAGTGGGGTCTCCTGAGAGCTGTCGGGGTCAAGTGCTGCAAGCCTCCCATCACCCAACGCCTCCGCCTCTGCTGCCGCAGCTGGCGCCTCCGCTGGCGCCGCTGGCGCCGCTGGCGCCGCGGCCTGGTGCCCGGCGCCCGCTTTCCCTCCGAGTCCGAGTCCGAGTCCGTCCACACGCCGTGAACGTCGGGCACCTCTGCGCCCGAAGCAGATTCCCCAGATCGCCTGGGAGCCATTGTCCACATCACTCACAAGTACTCCCGGCGTGCCTTCTCAGCTTGGTGGTACCCCATGTAAGGACGCCTAGGCACCTCGCACACAAGCATGACTGCATCTGATGCGACCCACTCAAAGTTAGCCAGGCCGCGCTGCTGTGCCAACCACCTGACCGCCACCACAAGCCCCAGCAACAAGCCCCAGCAAACCATCTCATTGGAACGCCACGAAAACCGCAACATCTATTTCCTGAGGCCCGCACGCCGCAGAGATAATAATAGGGGCTCGAGTTGAAGGCCTTCAGTCTCCGCAAAGCGCTCTCCGTGCCGAACCCAGCCCGGAGTGGACCCTCCGGCGCCGCGGCGTCCTGCTTCAGAACGTCAGTGAAGGCGTCGGCACCTGCCCGAGGCCCCAAACTCGCAGAGCCAAAAGCAGGAAAATACGCAGCAAGCCGTCGCAAATCGTGGCAAATCATGGAAAAATCGTGGCAAATCCGTACATCCGTCCTGCGAAGCCAATGAGGTGCACACCTTGCGCGCTGCTGAAGCTAGGCTAGGCATGCTGCGCGCCCCCAGCCTGCAATTTGGGCGCAGTGCTTTAGGTTCTCGTTGTCCATGCGGGATTTCAGCCTCGCGCTGCGCCAGTTGGTACAGGAAAAGCGGTGTAGCCACCGAGGACCGACCCACCGAGGGGGCAAGAGTTGCTTGGTGAACAGGCAGAACATCTGAGGCGGCGACAACTGTGGGATCGCGAACCTGCCAGCAACTTCTCAGACTTGAGCATGCACCATCTCAAACACATGCACAGTTACAAAGAAGCAGTAGCGGCAGCAATGTCGGCGCCGACAACTGCACTTTGCTGCGCACAGGAGCGCGAGGAAACGGAAGAAGGAGAAGAAGTCGCTGACGACTTTGGCCTCATCAGACCTGGGGTATGGCATGGTACCAACAAGCTTGCAGTGAGGCTGGGGTTCCCACTCTGTCGTGCCCCTCAGCTCAAGATCTGCCCGCAACTCAAGTGAGCGCCAAAGAGTCAGCCGAGCCCAGCACACAACCACCTTCCACAGCTTCTTCGCGGCCTGCCAGACACGAAAGTGCGGGCAAGGCCCGGCAAGGCTACCTGAGGCTCTAAGGGCCAAGCCATGAAGATCAGCACCACGGAGAAGAGCGAGATGCTCGAAACCAGCACTCTCCAAGTAGACACCTACATGCCAAGCTGTCAAACAAAGCCTGGAATGCACATCCCATTTCAGCCAAGCCTTCAAGTGGGAATTCGAGCTGCTCACCATACAGAACACTGCCCTTGCGCAGGCTCGAAGTGCTCAGGGCAAACACGAAGGCGGCTGAACAGCTCCAAACGGAAGCATTCAAGCATCGCCAATGCCAAGGCACAGGACGAAGCCGATGGACGCCAAAAGGGCAAGTGACATGGCCTCCACAGCATACGTTCTTGACAACGGGATCGGTGACACGGCTTCTCAGCATGGCAACTCTTGTGGTCAAGGCACGAGGGATGCTTCCTTTTCTTCATCCTTGCATGGATTGCAAGTGGAACATCCCATCCAAGTCTCCAAAGGACTTCCGGGATTGCAGTCCTTCCACACGCCAACGGTCTTGTCCTGAGCAGCGCATGTCAGGCGTATAGTGGGCATGCGTGGGATTCTCGCGCGCACTGAGAGATGCTGAGGGCTCCGCTTCCCCAGCCTTCACGGTGAGCGTGGAGACCGCTTCTGTCGCTCTCTGGACGACCTCTGGCAAGTGAAGCACAGCTTCGGAAAGCCTAACAAGAACAGGCACCTTCTTCACAACTAAGCTCTTTCCCGCATACTTTTGGCAAACAGGCCAAAGTCAAGAAGTGTCTCACTTTCTACTTGCTATTTTCCTGGCGAAATATCCACGACTAACAATGTGCGCGTCTTCAATCAGGTACAATTTGGTTGATTTTTCATGATTTCCGATTTTTCGTGCGTTTCGTGCGACGGCTCAACCGTTCAACTGTTCATGTTTTCTCCACTGTTCAACTGTTGGTTTCGTCGTTTTGTGCCTACGCCCCGGAAAACCGGCGCCTTTTTTTCAGTGGCCGGTGGCCGGTGACTGCGGACGGCGGGGCCGGTGGCCGGCGGCCGGTGGCCGGTTGACTGGCAACGCGTAAATACATACGCGTAAACACGCGCGTCTGCGCAGCTGTGAATGCATGCTTGACTAAAATGGGCCGTGACATCTATCTATCTGCCTTGCTCTCCGAGCTCTCTGGGCTGCGCGTCGCTGCGCTGAGCAAACCAAGTCCTCTCTGCTAGCTGTATACGTTGCGCCGTGGGCTGCTTTTGCGCTCTGACCAAGCCATATGTTCCGCGCTCTCGCGCTACTTTCGCGCATGAGGCAGGCGATCTTACTGGGAGAAATAGGGCTAGGGGGCTCAAGGTAAGAAGAATCTAGCCAGTCCAGCGTTCCTACGCTGTGTTCTCATGGATGATAAACAGCGTCACAAACAAATTCTTGCGTTGAGGGCTACATGCACGCGCAGCGCCTAGCAAGCGGTCGACGTGTAGCAGCTTCGTCAGAGGCATGTATTGCCTGCATGGGCAGCGCAAGGCAGGAGCAAACGCTTTTCACGCTAGCTTCCGTCCAAGCGCAGCGGGCCGCAGGCACAAGAGTTTCTGGAGGTCCATCGTCAACATCAGCTGGCCGATGTTTGCCCCTTCCCTGTCCTGAAGAAACAGCTGGCACAACCACCTGTTCATGTGATGGACCACTGAGCTGGCTGTTCACGCTTTCCGCTACGTCGGTTGGGAAGTTCTGCAAGACTTCATCGTTTGCAGGCAAAGCAGGAAGACAATGTCTTCTGCAGAACTCTCCAACTGTCGTCACGCACACTAGATGACAGGTTAGGACATCTTCGTGCCAAGATCGAAGCAAAGCGATAACGCTGCGACAAACTCGCGCAAGTCCACCACAAATCCTGCGCCAGAGAAAGGCTGCTGCGAGCACAGCTGTGGAATTGAAAACGGGCATTGTTTACTGCGTTGCGCGCGCGGGCCAGAAGCGTTTTTGGAGGCAGCCTTCCAGCGATTTCCTCGGCTAGGCTTCATTCAGCCGCCGTGCTCTGGGTCGCGACGGATGGAGGACGCGACGGTTAATTTAAGAACCTGGTCGAATAGCTCCGGCAACCAAACCTTGTTCCACAATGAAGCCATGGGCTACTGTCGGGTCTCCATTCGGGAGTTCTCAGACGCCGCGCGCTCCGGCACGATCACCAGCAGTGCGTGGATCAACCGCAGGGCGATGAGTGTCCCTGGAGCAGGCCCGACAGAGCTTGCAGCTGCTGAAGCCCCGCCTGTCCCGGCGTCGGCGACGCCGCCGACCGGAAGGTGAGGCGGCTCGATCCACCAAGAGGATCGCATGAGGCATTTGTCAAACATCTTGCCATAGCGCACATGGAGGGGGAGGGCGTGGCAATCTTGACTTTCTTTGCAAATGAGGGCTGTGAGACAGGTTCGCAAACTCTAAAAACTCAGGACCTGTAACCTTCGGTTGGCCAGTGATCCGGACTTCGCTACTTGCTCCAAATTCAAGGTACCTGCAGGTTTGCCAGAAAGGGGTTCGTGGTGCCAACCAAGGACAAATCCCACGGCTGAAAACCTGAAGGGAAGGACACCCAATCCCGCCAAGCGAGCAAAACGCAGAAGCAACACCCCTCAAGCAGAAGCCCCGACCCACCTCCAGGAACAACACCGGCCGCCACGAGGAACGGCCGACGCACTGTCAGCGCCGCAGACTTTCCCGACGAGATGGCGAAAGACGGATGCCAGGTGTAAAAGCTTGAGCCAAAACCGTATTGGGTTAAGGCAAGTTGACATATGCTATGATAAAAGTACATGCCCCTAAAAACAAAACTGGCTCAAGGCCATGTATTTTGTAAACTCCGTGCAATTCTCGCGGAGTCCTTGTAAAACCTGGTGGCGTTGCCATTTGGAAATTCCGCTGGTGTAGTCTTCGTAGCCCTTCACGAGTAGGTTCAGGATGCTCTTTTTTCTGTGCGGATCCTTTGCAAATTTGTCGAAGACTCGACCTTCTGGCACGGGCTTCTGACGTTGCTTTCTCAAGGCCTTAGCCCACAGCTTCGGCTTCTGCAGCACGCTGGACAGCACCAGGAATTGGTAGGTCCCCTGTAGCCGCGCAAGGTCAAAGAGCGCCTCCAAGGTCTTGCGGTGCGGCCGGTCCGTCGCGCCGGCCAGCATGTTTCCCTTACTGTCAGCAAACTTGCGGGTGATGTACGTCGAGTAGTCGTGCTCGACCCGAACAGCATGGTGCCGCAAGCTCTCGGTCTCGCACTTCGCCTCCTTCTTTCGCGGCGCCATGGCCAGCTTCTGGGTCAAGAGAGGTCGCTGCGTGTAGCTTTGAGCCAAAATGTAGCGGAACCTTGGTGGAACCTTGGTGGAACCCCATTCCATTGTTGGGGAACCAAACCACCCGAACCTTGGAGCCTTCCTTAAACCTACCCTGTCTACACCCCCCAGCCTCCCTAACCTTAATCCTGGCCTGCACCAGACACCCGGAACCTCCGGACCTGTTGGCCTGCACCAGACCACCCCGAAACCCGGGACCTCACCTGGCCTGCACCAGACCGCTGCGTACTCCGGAACCTTCCTTGAACCTTACACCTGGCCTGCACAGACCCGGAACCTCCTGCCTTCCTTGAACCTTACACCTGGCCTGCACCAGAGCACCCCGGAATCTCCGGAACCTGTCTAGAATCTTACACCTGGCCTGCACCAGACATCTCCGATACCTCCGGAACCTAGCTCGAACCTGACTCCAGAGCTCCCCCAAGCCACCTTATCTGGGCTGAGACCCCTTAGCTTTCAGCTGTTGGGGACAATGTTCAAAACATGTAATGCTGAAATCCCTGGCGGCTACTTCCTTCAAGGACTTCCAGAGCGACCATTGCCCGTCCCAAACTGAAGACCTGGGAGCAATTCATTTGGACAATCGTGTGGCTAGTCCTTTCCTATTGTTTGTTACTCGATATTTTCCCCGGCTCTCACCAGCTGGGATAGAGAAGGAATGAAATTATGATTGTCGCCTTGGCAACCCATTCTCTCATCAACAGTCAAGAAGCAAAGCTCTAATGTATGTTGATTGTGTTTGCGAGCTTTTCGCAACCTGACCTGTTCGACTTTTCGAGCTTTGACGACGTTCCAGTTTCATGCTGCGGTGTGGCAAGGCGCAATGCTTCTTCTAGTCTCACTTTAGATGTTCGTGGTTCTGGACGTTTCCGGGTTTGAACCTCTCTCCATCGCCAAGCTGATTCTCACCGTGCGCGCGCCCGAAACCCTCCGGGTTGCCGCACAGTGTTCACAGGCTCAGGCTCCTGGTGCATGAGGCTCTCCTAAGCAAACTTCGCTTCGACATTCGCTTTGAAGGAAATCCGAGAAGAATAAAAAAGATAATAACAAAAAGAAAAGGAACAAAGAAAAGGAAACAAAATAATAAAAATAAAATAAATATATATATATATATATAATATATATATATATGTGAAAAAAAGAGTGTGCTTCGCCCTGCTTCAACCTTCGAGGGCTTGGCCTTCTCCCGGCTCTCGCGGCGCACGTAGCTATGATGCGGCCTCGCTCGGGGAACGAAGGGCCGAGGTAACGAAGGAAACGAAGGGCCCGGGGCCCGGGGCCCGGGGCCCGGGGCCCGGGGCCCGGGGGGCCCGGCTCGACTTGGCCATTGGCAGCGACGGACTGCGCCTCAAATCAGGGCACCGCCAAAACACAGCGCGAGATCCCCATCGCCTACAAGGGTTGCGGTGCAGGCGGGGCTTCAGGGCTTAAACCCTTAAAAACCTCGACCAACGCACGCTGCAGCACTGGCCTCTCTCTTGTACTCTGCGCTGCTTGCCAGTTGCAGCGCAAGGGCTGCGAATATGAAGAACATGTTTCCTCGCAATCCCAGCGCAGTAACTCTTACAGCTGATCTGCTGCTATCTGACATGAAGGGGACATGTGAAAAAACACAATCGATGCATGAGCCTACAGGATCCATTTCCATGCAAACACCCGAATGCAGGCCAAAGCACGCAAGCAAGCAAGCAAGCAAGCAAGCAAGCAAGCAAAGCAAGCAAAGCAAGCAAGCAAGCAAGCAAGCAAGCAAGCAAGCAAGCAAGCAAGCAAGCAAGCAAGCAAGCAAGCAAGCAAGCAAGCAAGCAAGCAAGCAAGCAAGCAAGCAAGCAAGCAAGCAAGCAAGCAAGCAAGCAAGCAAGCAAGCAAGCAAGCAAGCAAGCAAGCAAGCAAGCAAGCAAGCAAGCAAGCAAGCAAGCAAGCAAGCAAGCAAGCAAGCAAGCAAGCAAGCAAGCAAGCAAGCAAGCAAGCAAGCAAGCAAGCAAGCAAGCAAGCAAGCAAGCAAGCAAGCAAGCAAGCAAGCAAGCAAGCAAGCAAGCAAGCAAGCAAGCAAGCAAGCAAGCAAGCAAGCAAGCAAGCAAGCAAGCAAGCAAGCAAGCAAGCAAGCAAGCAAGCAAGCAAGCAAGCAAGCAAGCAAGCAAGCAAGCAAGCAAGCAAGCAAGCAAGCAAGCAAGCAAGCAAGCAAGCAAGCAAGCAAGCAAGCAAGCAAGCAAGCAAGCAAGCAAGCAAGCAAGCAAGCAAGCAAGCAAGCAAGCAAGCAAGCAAGCAAGCAAGCAAGCAAGCAAGCAAGCAAGCAAGCAAGCAAGCAAGCAAGCAAAGCAAAGCAAGCAAGCAAGCAAGCAAGCAAGCAAGCAAGCAAGCAAGCAAGCAATTCAATACAGAATCTGGTGCAGTCTGGATGGACTGTGCTAACTTGCATGACAGCTCCCAGCATCCGAGGCGCTATGGAACTGGATTTAAAATACCAACAGGCAGGGATGACCTGCTGTTTGAGCCAGTGGCTGCGAAGCAATGCAATGCTGCATGCCTGAGAAAGAACCAACACCCAACTCTGACACACGAGTTGTGAACGTACGTGTTGCTGCCCCACAGCACAAGTGATCTGCAAATGTCAAAGCAAGCGCAGGCGCTCTTCGAGCCGAGGAGGGGGGGGCAACGTCGCCGCCCCCTGTAGCACCTGGAAGGACTTCATGGGTGGCTTCAGGGAGAAGCGGTCGCACGGCCAGTGGCTGCTGCACTTGCCCTGAAGGTATGCCATCTCTTTCTTGCGCCTGGTCGCCTCAGAGCGCCGGGAGCAGGGCGCATAGGCCACGCAAACTCCCACCCGGGCCGGTCGTGCCGGCCGGGCTGGCCGGGCCAGGGACGGAGTGCTGAGTGGCCCCCTGCTGGCATGCACTAGGCGCGAGTTGAAGAAGATAGCGCTGTCGGGCGGCACGTCCGGCTTCACGGCGTTCGCTTCACTTTCGAAGTCCTCTGGGGCCCGGATGAAGTCGCCCTTTGCCGCCAGCTCCCAGGGGTAGGTCGTCTTGTGGGAGAAAGGAACGACACACGTCCCAGCCTCCAGCGGTCCGCTGCCGTAGTGCGTGTACACTGCTTGCACGGACAGGCCGGCATGCTTGGGGTGCTGATCCTTGTGCAGCCACTGCGGCAACTTTGTTGTAGAAGCGCCTGCTTGTGCAATGACCGCATCCAGGCTCACCACCAGATCTTCGGTGCCAAAGATATGCGCAAAAGCCTGCCTCATGCGAGGATGCGCACGGACCATCCAGGCAAAGTCTGCATGAGGCAAACCGTAGCTCGTTACAATGCCTCGGAAGCCTTTGGGGAAGGTCCATGTCTCCACTCTGCTGGGGTCAAGGCGTGGAACTACACTTGCCATGGCGCTCCAGAACTCGTCCTGGAACCTCCCACAATCTTCACCCAAGACGCCCTGCAAGACTGCATAGCCGTACTCCCTGAGGTGCCACAGGAAATCGGCGTTGGGCTCCAGAAAAACAGCTGTGCCAAAGCACTTCGGCACAGGGCACGGGCCCGGAGACAGAGTCCTCTGAGCCTTCTGAGGCTTGAACATGGCTGGCACGGACGTGCGCCGCTTGGCAGATACCTGCGGCTCGCTCTTGTCTGGAGCCCCCTGCACCTCAAGCTCGTCATCAGACAAGTCGATGACTGGCACCTCAACCCATGGCAAAGCAGGGCGGGGCCACACCATCCTGAGCCAAAGCTCAATTTTGAAAAGGGCGAGCTCGGCAGCCCCAGGCACGGATTCCATGCACCTACCCAGTCACCCTCTCTGTGCTCAGCCGTCTGCGCGACATCGGGCTGTCACCCGCCCTCTTTTTTGCTTTGTTTGTTTGTTTTTCTCCTTCTTTTCTTACACGCCTCCAGCTTTGCTAGCACCGCCTGGCAGGTCGCACAGAAGCGCGGCAGCTTGTTGGCCAGCACCTCGGGGAGCAGACTGAGGGTCTGTCGCATGCCTCGGCCTCGAGTCAAAGTTCTGAATTTAGCCTCCCACCCTTCCGTCATAAGGAACTTCGCCAAGAAACGGGGAGAAAACACTAAACACTATTGCACAAGAGGTGATACAAAGCACAAAGCTCATGAGCCAAGACGCACGCGAAAGGCGACGTTGCATTTGCCACATCTTCGCCAGCCAACCTCTCAAAGACTCCGCGTGCCACCCTCGTCACCGTCTCCTGTTGGCGCCAACGGCAGCATGAACAGAGTGATCGCGCAAGCCATCTGCCCACTGGTTGTGCCAAGCACTCCTCGCCCCACATGTCACCCCACTTGAGGAGCAGGCGCTTTCCTCGGTCACGTTGCTTTGTCAAGACTTGTTTAGCCTCATGCTTGCAAGCCTCCGCTGCTGATGGGGGGCATGGGCAGCCAGGTTCTTGCGATGGGTCATGCGAAAGTTGGCAAGCGACGGCATCCCGAGAGAGGCACAGGCATGCATACTCAATCATATCCAGACTATTCTGCACACCAAGCAAACAGCGAGCGCTTCTGCCACGTCGCTCATTGCGTTCCACTTCCCCGGCTGTTCCAGGGCCGAAGCTGCAGCTTCTTGGCGGAGTATGTCACAGCCAGATTTGGCCACGAGGAAATCCACTAGGCGGACTGCCAACCTGCAGCTGCGAGCGACTGCCTTAAGGCCCGCAAGGCATTCGTAAGGCGAGTGCTGGGCTTCCTCGTAGCCTTCGGCATACTGTCCTTGGGAGTGCGCGACACTCCAAGCGCAGCTCGCCCTTCGAATGGCCGCAAATGCCCAACTCAGTTACTTTCCACCGGCATCCTGCGTCCAGCGAAGCAAGAAGGGTGCCCCCGACAACCAACGACAACTGAAGAGTGGCATCCGACACGTGCAAAGACAAGCGTCTGCCCAGCTGCTGGTTAATTTCGTCTGTCAACTTTGTCAGAGCATCATGCGGGTCGTTGCCCTGTCTGGGAATCCAATCCGCAAGCGGGACCTTGGCAATGCAGTCCTCTGAGGCGCGAGGCAGAAGTACTCTGCCAAGGTGCCGTTGAAGGGTCGAAACTCCAGCATGGATCCACCAGGCGCGCATCCAGATGCCACGACCTTGGCACCGAGTTGCCCGAATGCTTGGAAGCAAGTTTCCTGGCTCGGATCCCTCTTCAGCTAGGCAGCGGAAACAGGATGGGCGATAGGCTTTCTTTGGCAGAGGGTTTCTCCAGCAACAAAGCCTTGAAGGATGTCCACCTCGAGAATGCCGAAGTGCCAAATTGGTCTCTGATCGTGCTTTGCCGAGGCAAAGCAAAGCGCCCATGCCTCTGCACGCCAGTCCCATCCATGTCCTCGGGGCAGAGCGCACCCCACTTCAACCCCGATCCGCTCTTGCAGGCAGGCAGCGCTCTCGCGGCCATACCAGCCCTTCACATGTCTGGATGCCCAACCATCTTGGAGCACTGCATATCCGGGAATCGAATAGGACTGCCCCTCGGATTCTGACTGCCAGTCCCAACAATGCCACAGATGCTGCGCAAATGCACGAGCGCAGCAAAAGCACAAGCATTCCTTCGAGGAGCATGCAGTGACATGTTGAGCCGGCTGAGCTGCTCCAAGAGGTTCTGCGGGCCATAAAACCTGTGCGCAGCGAGACACCGAAACACCTTGGAACGCACAAGCCAAGAGCCAAGTGCGGCGAGCGCACACGGTTCGCCACCCGCGCCATTCGCCGGCTGCAGCGAGGTTTGTGAAATCCACAAAAGTTGTCCAGTCGATTCGCCCGGCACCTCCAGTGGAATCAGCTCAGCTCAAGTCAGCTGAGCCCAAGTGCCGCCGAAGGCTCACTTTGGCCAGAAGTTGTGACACTCCGGCAGGCCTTCCATCAATTCCTCGGGCTTGGCCCAAAACAAACAAGGCTAGGGCCCAACGCAAAGGAGTCGCATGCGGAATCGGCGGGACGAAGATCCCGTCATTGGTCCCATCCACGCTCAGACTGTGCGCGAGCCCCTGGGACGCCAATGCTAACTGAGGAGGTGAAGGGACACACGTGCACATGCGTGCTTGAATTCCTTCCGCCCCGCTCAGCGAGATCGAGCCTCGAAGTTGGCGCCATAGTCCAAGCTCAGCTTGAAGCCGCCTGTGGGTCCTAGCAAGCAGTCCACCAGGTCCACAAAGTTGTCCTGCCCACTCAGTTTCGCACGACTGGCCCGCACACCAAAAAAACCTCGCTGGTGTCCTCACCCGGCCGCACCTCGATTCGACCAACGAACCAAGTGCCAAGTACGACATAACCGGACTCTCATCGTCATGTCGACGCAGAAAATGACCGAAGCTTGCAAGGCGCTACCAGGTGAAGGGCAGGATAGCCTCACAAGAACTGATACTCGAAGACAAGATGCTCATGCCGCGAGGCTTCTGAGCTTCCACCATCCGTCTCGTAGCTTTAGAACATGCGGCCGAGGTGCCCAACTTTCGATAGAAGAGAGCAAGTCTAGCGATTCTGGCTTCGTGTGCTTTGAACCACCACTGCAAGTCTTCGCAGCGCTCCTCACAGCGCGCGCAGTGGCAGGGGTCGAGTCACCTTGTCACTCTCCACCAGCATAGCCCCGCCTCCCCAATGGACACGGGGAAGAGATGCGTCTGGGTCGCGTGCAGAAACTCAGCCTCCAAGTCCGGCAAGTCACCTGCAGCCCCGTGCAGACGAGGCAGAACCCCTTCGACTCAAAAGGCCAAGCTGCGGAGCTGATGGCGCACCTGCAAGACAAGGCAAGGGCCTGGTGGCATCAGTACATAAGAAAAGATGTCTGTTTGCTTCTGCATGATATGTTCAAACACGCATCCACACACAAATATATATATATATATATGTAAAGGGGTCAAGTTATCCTCCTGATCTTTTTCCAATCATTTCATACATAGTCTAGTCGTAGTTCAATCTAGTTAATTGGACGATTAGCATCAAAAGCAAAGTTTGGCACAGTGTAAAAGCGAAGCAAGGTAATATGTCATATCATATGTCATACACACATCTCTGAAGATTTCAAAAATGTCAGCCAAGAAAAACACATCTGCCGTCAAATAGAAATCGTGATGTGTGAGGGTACCGGCGCAAGTGCATCAAAACAAAGGCAAAGCATACCTCTTCTGTTTCGCCTACACATCTTCGATTTCTCATGATGTGCAAATCCTCTTCGTCTGTCAACTTACAAACCTGTGGTAGTACCAAAACATCTGCTACGCATCCTTCATCTCTCATCTCAACTCCTCGGGCAATACCAAAACATCTGCTGACACCTCATACGCTCTGACCAATGCCACGCTGTCTGCTAAAATAACTCATGTCCCTGAACAACATGTGTTCTGCACAAAACCGCTGCCAAACAGCTTGTAACACACTGGTTTTACAGTGTTTGCCCATATCCAAGGGTTGGTGTGGAGTTTTTACAGTCATGTAGAAACATATCCAAGGTCCATACTTTGAATTATCAATGGCTTTTATCGCGCACAAGCGGAAAGGATGCGAAGGTGCACACCCAAGCAGAAATGACTGAAAGCAGACGCTCTAAAGCACTCTTAGACCTAAGGCTCAAGATTCAACATTCCCGCAACTTTAGACTTGAATCAGCACTCTAGCTCTTGAATCTTGAACCGAGGGGGCCCCAAATCGCTTCAACGCGCTCTACAGCGTTTTCATCATGGATTCAAGATTGAAGCGATTGAAGCCCTAGCGTCCTGGGAATCTTGAATCTCGAAATTTGGATCCCATACAGCGCTTTAAAGCGTTTTGCAGGGACGCCCTGTTGGATTCAAGATTCCCGATCTAGATTTGTGGGAATCTTGCCTCTTGAATCTTAGGTCCAAATGTGCTCTGATGCGCTTTAAAACGTTTTGGGCGGTCCCATGATGGATTCAAGATTCGAGATCTGAGTCCGGCGGCTCTTGAATCTTGAACCTTGGGCCCAAAAGTGCTTTAAAGCGCTTTTGAAGGTTTTATGTGGATACAGTCACAATCAATCAAATGTTAGCAAATGTGGGCATTGGTAATGCTCGAAATTGGGCGCGTTGGGGCATGGCAAACTCCCTTGGGGCGGGGTGTGTGTGTGTGTGTGTGTTGCTCTTTGCTTCACTATTGACCTTTCCACAACCGTATTTGGCCCAAGGCCCTCTTTTCTGACTCATGTGCTGCGCATCCTGCCGTACTCGGAATAGATCCAGGGGACTCTCAACTATGACAAGGTGCCGGTTTGTACGGGATAAGGTGCCCCGGAGCAGGTTTCGTAGAGATCCATTCAAGATGTCATCCGATGGAGAAGGCTTCACGGAGGCTTATTCGAGCGCAGGCCGACCAACAGGCTTCGCTGAAGACACACGCATCTTATCGACGACAGCCAAGCAGCCGCCATTGTGCGATGGAAAAGTCAGCTGGCTCAGACATTTGGAGAACCCGTAGATGATTGGGCAACATTCACCACAACCGAAGCATCCAAAAAACGACCTCTCCTCAAGAGATACCTGGACAACGAATTGCTTCAAGATCCCACCGCCACCGAAGCAGTCAACTACTTCAAGAACACGCTGAAGAAGGATTTCCTCAAGGGTACAACCAACGTGTATCTGTACAGATTCCTCAGTTTCTTCAATCATCGACGACAAAACATGAAGTTCCTCATCTTCACATCCAAGCTTGAAATCCTGCTCAAGAGATTGAAGGAAGCCTGGATGGACTTGATGCCCGCTTACACGGCACAGTCACCAGGGTCTTGCACATCCATACAGGAAGCGAACCACAGAACAATCTTCTTTCCAGAGAACCCACCAACAAGGTTGGTCAGTACTCTTTCCAGCAATTGTTGGCTCCGGAGAGCTCCAGACCCGAAAGCAGCGAGCACATCTGGCATTTCAAGACAAAAGCATGCGAACAATCTTGAAGGGTGCAGGATTGAATCGCCAGGCATGCTGGAAATAGGACTAAAGGAACGGCCTTGGCCGAATTTCTCATGGTAGGCATTTTGCAGGCTTGCAATATGTGTATCTCTGATTTGCCTCAGGATGAAACCAAGTTTTTCCTTTCTCAAACAAAGCTTGGCGATGCAGCGATGTTCAGCCTTCTTTTAATACATGGCATCCTATGGGCTACAGAATCATCAATTGTGGAGAAAATTGCCACGTTTATAGCCATATCTATGTCTACTATGTCTACATTTAGATCCATACCTACACGCATCACATATGCCTATTGCATTCATGCCGCCTGTCTGTACACATCACGGGGCAGCGCAACAGAAGTCTGCAACTCGCCTCAGCTGCAAATCCAAGGGGCTAGAACAATCTGAGAACAACTGTTAGATTTAACAAGTACTGCAACACGCCTTAGAAAACAAGCTTCAACACAGTGTTCGCACAGCTCAAGCAGTTCGAACAATTGGAGCAAGAGTCTGTTGAGACGTTCCGTGATCATCCGAAGTCGATCTGAAAGCTTGCCATCCTTCCTGATACGCATCCGCATATTGTGCGAAGCGAACGGGACACCTTGGAGCAGCAAACATCAAAACACACACGCATCCAATCCAAACTTGCTGACCCGCTCAAGCAGTAGTCTGTGAGAAACAAATTGGCTGCAAAAGTTAGACAAGACATGTTGATCATGTAGATGTGCGACTCCCGAAAGTATCCGAAGGATCATCCAGGCTGTGGATTTCGAGCATGTGAATGTGCCTCACCTATTCTCATAGCTGCCTGAAACGGGGCTTCGCAAATATCCGAAGAACATTGCCCTTTCCGTGGAACCTCAATCGGCACCAAGCAGTTTCTCCGAAATATCTTCGACGCAAGTGGTCTGTGTTCTGATTCTGTTCAAACAGTCCATCTTTGACGTGCGGGAAACATTGGCATCAGTGTCAGTATCTTGTTTGTGGCTTTGGTGTGTTACTCCTTTGCAGAACTCGGCGGCTGACACTTCAAGCGCAACATGCATTATCAATGTAGCCCTCACATGGACCAGGGAAAGGCCAGAAAGGGTTCAAATAACTTGCACCTGCGGCCTGCATTTGATCACACAGCCTGCCAGGCAAGGCGCCAAGGTCCAAATGGTTCACCAACTCGCTCAAGCTGAAGGTGATTGCCAAACAAGACGTGTTGGCAGAAACCTGCAGGCAAAAAGAATCAAACCCGGAAAGCGTGCGTGACACAAACATGAATCCCTCCGAACAGCTGTCCCGAAGACAAATGACCAAAGTGCGCAAGCATGGAGCCTGAATATTTTGGTCAAGGGCCGAGCCCCTCAAAGGCAGAAGCGCGACACATCCGCCTGCTTTTGAACCTCCAAGCCGATGGTGCTATTGGCCATGGCCTTGCAAGGATGCACCTCCCGTGTCCAATGCCACCCAGCCATTCCAAGCTCGCGGCGCAGAAAGTTGCGTCTGTGTAGCCCCGCACCTGGGAGATTGTAGAATCTGCCATGTCCTGGGCGCGGTGCCGACCAACAAATAAAGTAGCCAACCAAGACATGTAGGTGCGCCTGTGAGTGTGCACGCATGTGTGAGCGCACCTGTGTGGTTGTGCGCGCGCATGTGCCTGTCTCTGTGTGTATTGTGCGTCTGTCTGTGTGTGTGTGCGTGCGCGTGTGGTGGCTGAACCCTGGCCCTCGGATTTTCCAGCTAGTGACGGATGCTCCAGACTGAAGCGAATAAGCTGGCAACCGAGCGAGAAGACAAGCAGGCTTTTCTGCCGTGCTTACCTTGAGACGCAGCGCAGCAGCTCACGCAACGCTGGAAGCCATTTTGTTTATCGAAGAGGGTGTGTGGATGTGTGCGTGCCAGCGCGCTTGTGTCCGAGCACCTGGCTCCGTGCACGCGTGCGTATGCGGGTGTGCCTGAGCATGCCTGTGCGCGTTCAGCATGTGCGCCTGTGCGCATGTGCGCATCTGCGCATGTGCATGCGCGTGTGCTCGAGTACGCGCGTGCGTGAGCGTGCGCTTGCACGGGCGGTTGAGTCTGCGTGTGGGAGTGCGCTTGCGCGTGCGCGTGCGCGTGCGCGTGGGCAAACGTGCGCGTGCGCGTGGGCGTGCGCGTGCGCTTTTGCGTGCGCGTGGGCGTGGGGGTGCGTGGGCGCGTGGGTGCGTGGGGGCGTGTGCGCGTGCGCGTGCGCGTGCGCGTGCGCGTGGGCAAACGTGCGCGTGCGCGTGGGCGTGCGCGTGCGCTTTTGCGTGCGCGTGGGCGTGGGGGTGCGTGGGCGCGTGGGTGCGTGGGGGCGTGTGCGCGTGCGCGTGCGCGTGCGCGTGCGCGTGCGCGTGGGCAAACGTGTGCGTGCGCGTGGGCGTGCGCGTGCGCTTTTGCGTGCGCGTGGGCGTGGGGGTGGGCGTGGGCGTGGGCGTGGGCGTCGTGCGTGCGTGCGTGCGTGCGTGCGTCCGTCCGTCTGTCCGTGCGTGCGGGCGGGCGAGCGGGCGGGCGGGTGGGTGAGTGCTGCGTTTGTGACAATGCACAGACAGGGGCGCCTGTGCGTTTGCGTGCTTGCTTGCGTTGGGCTCGGAAGGGGTTTCGTTGCGCGCCTGGGAGTAGCCCAGAACTCGCAACAGCTCCTGCAGCTTCTCCTGGCAAGGTTGAGCTTTGCTTGACTCTCACTTGTTCAATGGTTTTGCAAAGGAGTCCTCGGTGATTGTGTGCACCAGGCTGACTTCTTGCCAGGATCCTGAGCTCCATGCTATTTCTTGTGCCCCTGCCTGAACCCGCAGCCAGGCAGCTGCAATCTGTGATGTTGGGCTTCCCGTACAGCCCAAACCTCAACAAAAAGCAGCAACCGCGGAGTTTGCAATGTTCAAAGCATTCAAACTCTCCGAGTTCTGTCTGCCATCAGAGTGCCGCAGCTTGACAGGCGCAAAAGCGTCGAGAAGCTCGTTCGACAGAACCTTTACAGTGGGCATTGCCTTTGCATGGGCAGCCGCTAGAACCTGAGGCGCCTGCTACTGAAGCGCCTGCCTCTGGCGTCCCCCTCTCGGTGGCTTGGCATTCGGGCGCATCAAGGCCGCCTCAACGTGCCCAGTTCGCCCAAAGCATTGGGGGCTTGGGCCGCGAGCCCCGCCTGTGCAAGCTGGCGAGGCCGCCAGCGCAGCTAGCACAGATTTGCAGCTCGCCTAACCCACGGCTCCGGCTCTTACCACTACAACACTACAACGACAAGTCGCACTGAGGGCAAATTGGTTCGTCGAGTCACTGCTGATTGCGCATCTCCAGCTACAGATCGTAAACCACGGGCTTGTTGGCGCTGGCGAAGCGCTGGAGACCTCTCCATTATGGTGTACCTTGTGCAGGCAACACAGTGTTATTGCCATTCATTAGAAGTTAGAACCCCTATAGCTTTCAGCAGTCTGAGGAAAAACAGAGACACACATGCATGCGCGCACACGTCAGGTGCCAAGAGCCTGATGCGTTCTGCTCATGCACTCGGTCACCCACCCTCTGAAGGGCCCAAGTTGGTTGCAGTTGGGAGGCTCGAAGGCTGCAGCCCACCGCCGCCAAAGAGCCGGAGCCAGGCCGAGCGCGTTCGTCCGAACGCACTGCTGCGTGTCATAGGCAAGCTGCCCAGAGCCTTGAGACGCGGAGGGCTGGCCTGGCCCATGGCCTGGCCCCAAAACATCCCCCCGCCGCCCCGCCTGCACCCATCTCCACGATTCGGAACGGGGCGCGCTCGTTCAGCTGGACCTTGCCGCCCGGAGCTCGGCTTGCACATGATCTACACATCTACTTTCTTGGGTTTCTTCAAGTTGCAAAGAGGACGGAGACCGAGCACCAGGCCCACATGATGAACAGGAGCCGGCAAAACACTCTGGCAAAATGCGGGGAAAGGGCCATGGGATAGGTCGTAAAGTGAGCAAACTGCTGCGTGCTTTCTGTTCCCTGACCACCCTTTCCTCCGCCAAGCAAGACGTGGCCCTTGGAGTAGTACCCCCACTCATCTCCGTACTGCGCATCAGTATAGAAGTCATCCATCTTGTAAAACTGCTCAGTTTCAATCTCAGACGCCAAAATGTCGGCCCAGCTGTTGGAGGTGGCGTTTGCCAAGCAGCACAGTTGGTGAGTGAATGATCCAGACCAGCATGCTGGGTTACCCGTCGCCCCATACTTGTCCCCGCAGCAGAAGTCGTACGTGAAGGCGTCCCCCATCCAGCAATCTGCATTCGGACAACACTCCCCGAAACTGTAGCTGCCATCCCAGCACTCAGACGTCGTGGAGGGATCACCTCGGCAGCACCTCTCCTTGGTGAACCCACCCTGCCAGCAAACGTCAGAAGACACGTCCCGGAGGGCCGCCGTCTCGTCGGCCAAGCTGTCCTCCCACTCTTGCACGCTGGACACACCATCCCGGGCGAGGAGGTCGCCATGTACTGGCAACAGCGCGACACATGGCAGGGGCCACCAGACCATGGGAAGTGAAGCAAGTAAAGCAAGTGAAGCAAGTGTGTGCTGTGGGGACAAGCAATTCCAAGTGCATATGGCACGGAAGAAAGAAGACCCATTACCCCGAAAGGCAATGAAGCTCTTCTCAACGGGTGAGTGTCGGTTTGGCTGGTTCATATCTGGCTGCCGTGCTCCGTCTGCCTGCAAATTGACGTCTTGCCCGGAATAGGCCAAAGCTGCCAAAAAATTGAGCAGCTGCGCAAACTGTCCAACATGCGGTGTCAAACTTGAAGCCATGCGACAACTTGCACCCCCAGCTACATGGGAACACGCCTCCGTTTTTTCCTTCATGCACTGTCTGTAGTAAGGTGCCGGAAATCCCCGGTAGCAGGAACCCGCCTGGGCCTGCATTTGCAAAAAGGCATCAGAGACACCTCTGCACAGAGCAGTCGCGAAGGATTTGCCCCAGCAGAATCAGTCTTGCACCTGAGAAATCAGTGATGAGGCGGGCGAAGCTGAAAACACATTTGACCCAAACAAGGCGAAAAAAGCGCTCATCAAATTGCAATCGATGCTCCGTGCTTCGTGCTTCTTCCCAAGCTGAGGCGGCGACCAAAGCCCCGCTGTACACATTGGGCTATGGCATGGCTACCAAAAGCGGCCAAGGCCTTCTTCGAGGCCTTCAAATGTGTCTCCTTTCCCTTTGGGCGGTGCCGCCCTTCCTCTCCCTCGCGGTTCCTGGCGCACCCTAGGCGCGCTTGGCCCGCCAGGGGGTTGCTGTCTCCGCCAGCGTGGCCGCCATGAGGCGGCCGCTGATGGGGACCTGGGCGGCACGGAGCCGCTCCAGCAGAGGCGCGCCCACCTCGTCGCGCAGGCCCTTCTGCGCCAAAGCCGCCAGCAGGCTCTCGAGGCAGTCCTGTCGTTACGCCTTTACACCTTTCGGGAAGTCGGGAACTCGGAACTCTTAGGCCTTTTCTTAAGTCTCTTGGAGCGCGCTTGCCCTTACGGGACCATTTTCGGAGGCTTTCGGGACTTGCAGTCCTGCTCCACACTGGACCGCCCCTTGCTGTAGACCTCGTCCACCACCTGCACCGCCTCCTTCAACTGGCCCATGCGCACCAGGCCCGACACCAACGAAGTGCAAGCCCGCGTGTCCGCGCTCTGGCCTGCGGCCCGCATGTCCCGGAAGACCTGCAAGGCTTTGGTCGGAGACCCGTTCATGAGGCAAGCGCCCATCAGGCAGGACCAGACTTGACAGTTCGGCACGAAATTCCCGCGCTTCGGAAGAGTGGTCATGCATGCGAAAGCCTTGTCAAGCTGCTTCTGCCGGCTGTAGAACTTCACCAGGATTCCCAGAGTGAAGTTTGTTGGCGTGATCCTGTGTGCATCCATGCTGTCGAGGATCTGGTCCACCAGATCAGACCTCTTGTGTTTAGTGCAGCCATCCAGGATTGTGTTGTAGACAATCGCGTCATGATGCACACCGCTGTCCTGCATGCCACGGAGCACCTCCATGGCCTTGTCAAGGTCACCTCGCACAGAGTACCCCTTGACGATGGTGGAATGTGTGATGCCGTCGGGCTTGCAGCCGTCTTCGGCCATGGCCTCCACGATCTGCAAGACCTCCTCCATGTTACCGACGCGCGCCTGTGCGTCCACAAAGGCATTGCAGGCCGCCGTGTTCATCTTCACGCCCTTTCGGCGCATGTCGTTCCACAAGGACATCGCCCGCTGGGTCTGGCCAGTGTTCGTGAAGCCCTTGACCAGGATAGAGCACAGAACCGCGTTGGGCTTCACGTTGCTGCCCTCCTTGCACTGCGCAAGCGCACATGTCTGATGCTGGCACTGATATCTGAATGTCTCTGCAAACGAGCCGCAAAGAGCTGAACAGCCTCATCCACTTGACCATTGCAAACCAGAGCGTCCTCGGTTGGCCAAGAGAAGGTTTCCCGGCCTGCGGGGAGCCCATTAAGTTACCTATCGCCCAGTTTTGCAAGCTCCTATGCCTAGGACAACCTGACTCAGCCAAAGTGTCCAGCATGCAGCCGTAGACAATGTCATTGGGCTCAAGGCCGCGCTGGCCTTGCATCTCCTGAGCGGCACGGCACCCAGGCCGAGCCAAAGGTGGGGGATATCATCCTCTTAGGTAATTAATTAAAACTTTAGCCGAGCAGCGTTCCAGTAGTGCCAGCACTTCTCGGGACGCTTCAAGTTCGCGTACGCCTTGATGATAGAGCCGTAGGTGGGCACCGAAGGCCGCAGGCTGGACTGCTCCTTACACGCCAACATCCCCATCCCCCTCAATGCCAAGCAACAAGTCGATGAGTCGATGAGTCGACGAGTCGATAAGTTCTGTTGGCTTCCTGACTCCGTGCTCTGACTGAGCCAAGTTTCAAACTTGCTGAGGAGTGCCTCCAGGCGCCTGGCGCAAAGCGCACAAGGCTTTGGACAAATTTGCCGAAACCGACCTCTTAGACTCTTGACTTGCCCTGCCTGAACTCCTTGTGGCGAATGTAAGTCTCCAGCACCTGCGAGGTTGTATGTCTGTCACTCTTGGTCTTTGCGCACGGGTCCCCACGGGTCCCCACGGGTCCCCACGGGTCCCCACGGGTCCCCACGGGTCCCCACGGGTCCCCACGGGTCCCCACGGGTCCCCACGGGTCCCCACGGGTCCCCACGGGTCCCCACGGGTCCCCACGGGTCCCCACGGGTCACATCGAGGCACGGTGTTCATGAGAATCTCATCGGAGCAAGGGTCGATGTGGGATCGGTCCAGGAAGCCCAGGCAGCGGCTCACCTCGGCGAGTCCAGCCTGGAATCCGACCTCCAAAGCTCCATTTAAGATCATCCCATGCGCCCTTCCACCTATTGATCCTATTGACTCCTATTGACCCTTGACCTCCTTGCCCCATGCCAAGGGCACATCCTTCGGACCCTTGGCGCGCTTCAGAGCTTTCAACATGATGGACACCTCAGCGAATCAGACAGACGGCGGCCCAGGGCCCACTGCTTGCGAGACCCACATGCCGCCACATGCGCCACGCGGGCATCCAAGCTGCAGTGTAGTGGTCTGGCCGCACGTTCATTTGCTCCTGGTCACACTGGCGATGCCCTCCGCCCAGCAAATCAAGTGGGCAAATCACAATGTGCAATGGGTGATTCACCGTGCCACTCTCGTTTAGGAAAGGCTCCATCTTCGCAATGGTATCCCAGGCGTCGTCAAAGCTGCCATTGTTCACAGCTGCATTCAAAATGCCTTCGCTGACACCCGTGCACCACATGGCGCGAAACAAACATTGCCACGCACGCATGCCGTTGAGCAGCAGTTGTAGGACACGTCATTCGGCTGATAGCCAGCTTTCGTCATCTCAGTCAGCAGGTCCTGCAAATCATGTGCATGTTGACAGGTGCCTCTGTATCCCTCCCTTCCTGTCCTTGGCACCCTTGATGTCGCTTTGGTTGCAATACCCCTTCAGCAGGGTGTTGTACGTGATGATGTCCTAAGAACAAACAGCAAGAAAGCAACTCAAAGACGCGCGTGCGGAATGCCCAATCCATGATGCACTCTGAGGACTGCAGCGATGCAGGCAGGGCACAAGCAGCGACAAGTCCTGAAACAGGATCCCTTCTACCTTTTCCCGTGCAATGCAAAAGTCGCACATGCAACAGGCCTTCATCTCCTGGACCAGCTGCCTAGCACGGCGAAGGTCGCCGGCTTTGACGCACACGTCGAGGACGCAGTTGAACGCGATGGCATCGGGCGTCACCTCGAGAAATCGCAGCGCCCAGCTCCCGTCTCTTTGCAGAAGCGCACAACGCGCGGCGCATTGGCAAAGAGCGTTTGGACACAAAGCATTGTCTTTGACCCTGGAGGCACTGTTGGCCTCCCAGGCATGCAATGGCCCTATTCGGGGCACGCGGCCTTGCATCTTGCGCTGGACGCGCTGTCTGGCCTATGTCCATCTGCTTCCATCTATTTCCATCTATTTCCATCTATGTCCATCTATTTCCTTCTAGCTGCCCTTCCCACCGGAACGGGAGTGTCGCCGCGTCGGGTTGCACTTGGGGCAGTGCTCACAGTGCTTGGAGTACTCATTGGCCGCCTCGAGAAGCCCGACAGGATCGAAGAGGCATCCTCAACCAGGAGGCTTTTGTGCAGCTTGCGCTCCTTGTGCCCTTGCCGCTTGCGCTCCTTGCCCCCGATTTTCGCCGCTTCGCCGGGCCGTCCATTGCCCAGGTCCCTTAAAGGCCTCTCAAACTGGGCGTACCCGGATCCGCTTTTCCCGTGGATCTCGGAGAGCCCCGCAGTTTGACCCCAGCTATCTGGCCGAGGGCCCTTCGGCTCCAGCGGGCGCTCTCGCAATGAGCGCTGAGCCGCGCCTGAAGGACAAGAGTTCATGAAAATTTGCTTGCTTGCAGACATGTGGTGCAAAAAAAGGACCCACTGAGGCGCCCCTTTGACAGATGGCACTGACAGCAACGTGATGACCTGTGGGCTCACCCCAAAGATTTTGACGAAAGGAACCTTGTGCCAAGTCTGCAGGTGTTGGAGCGCCTACAAGGACAAGGAGGAGGCAATGGCGGCCACAGGCAAACGAGTCAGGCAAGTGATATGAGACAAAGCAACAACCTGCTAACAGGTCCCATGTGATGACATGGGTCACATGCCTCAACATATCAAATGCGCTGCACAACGATACGAAGTGGCTAAATCCACATGCGGTGAAAGGAGGACTCACAACAAAACGTAGAAACGACATTCCTCCCTGTGCTTCAAATCTTGGCACCTTGGCCTCCGTTCGCACCCAAGCGCACAGCGGCCAGCTTGGCTTCTGCGGCAGCCACTGCCTCCACTGCCTCCACCACCTCCTTCTGGAAGGAGTACATGCCTTCCAGGTCCTCTGACTCGGACGGCCCAGAGCTGGAGCGGTCGCTTGCATGGCAAGCCCCCTGGCTCTTGCCAAGCCACCTCGCCACCACTTCAGGTCGCTGTGCCATGCGAGGCATCTGCGGCATCCGCCCGAAAATCATGGCATTCTGCAAAGGAGATCGTGCCTGGCGCCTACAGCCAGGAAGCAATGGCGTGAGCCTGTTTAACTGTCCTTCCCTCGTAGCGTGCTCCAACTTGTTCAATGCAATAATGATTTTGAGCCATGCGCTCCGGACAATGGATGTGCATCAATGTTGTCAACCTCTGCGCCCCTGTGCCTGATCCAATGCCAAGTGCTGCCAAGATGCGTTATTCTCGCGCAGGCGCTGGATGATTGAAAATGCGCGGTCGACATCGCGATCGCGGCCAGCTGCCTTTATGAGAGACATGTAGTTCCTGAGCCAAGCAGATATCTATCTGAAACCTCAAACTGCCAGCTTTGGTGAGATTTTCAGGGAGTTTGGCTTGGCTGACCGTTGCTAGCCCTTGCCATGTCTCTGGATGTCCAGCACCGATAGCTTCTCCGAAAGTTCTTGCGACAGCGACGTGCGCCCGCATTCCACGGAGAACTTCATCAGGCAGCCGTACATCATGGTGTCCGGCTCCAGCCCGTCAGCCCGGATCTGGTCGTAGAGGTCGCAAGCCTTGCCGTACATGCCCGAGTAGGCATACACCTTCATGAGGCCACTGTACACGGCAATGCTCATTCCGGGGCCAGCACGCACGAAGCGCACAATCTCTTCAGCAAAGCTGAGAAACTTCCCATCCGCGCAGCGCGCCAAAAGCCCAACACAGAGCCCCTCACTGATGCTGTGTCCCGCAGCCTGCATCTCTTTGAACACCTCAATGGCATGCACATCACAATCTTCAGCGTAGGTCTTGAGCAACGCGTCGTAGGCATGGACACCAAAGGCAACCTTTGCCGCTCGCGCGGCTGCCTCCACTTGACGAGCGAGCTTTGCATCATGGCTGCGAACGCATTCTTCAAGGATCACCGTCACAGCTTCTGTGCCAAGGGCAACCTCGTCCTCCAAAAGCTTGGCATACATGTGCGCGGCCTTGCCGTTCTCCGCGGCCACCCGCAAGAACTGGGCGACTGCGAAGGCTGGCACCATGTGCCCAGACTTGGTCATGGCAACAATGCGCTTTAGCACCTCATCCACCAGGCCATTCTTCAGAAAGCCCTTGATGATGAGGGAGTGCCCGCGAGGAGATAGCTTCAGCTTATCTTTGCGCATCATGCCTTCAAATTCCTCTACCTTGTCCGGGTGGCCGGCCGAAGCAAATCCCCCAAGGATGACTTCATACATTGAGCAGCTGCGGGACAAGTTCAACTTCCTCTGGTAGTCGTTCCACAAGTCCATCATCACCTCGACGTTCCCTGAGCGAGCCACCGTGTCCAGGATCACCGTGCCGGCCCAGGAGTTCACGAGCGCATCTTTGTGATTGCGCAGGTGCTCAATGATCTCATCCACCAGCGCCTCAGGCTCCGCATCGATGAAGGCTTGCACCACTGGCTTCACCAGATCCTTCGGGGTGGGTGCACTCGACTCCTCCAGCCGCCAAGCTTCAAGGATCTTCGAAGCATTGCCAGCCGCAGCCTCGGCTTCCATAGTCTTACGCACCTCAGCTCAACCCCGAAAAGCTTCCCGAGCAAAAAGAGAACACGCAAACACATGCACCTTTCTCGGCCCGAACTGCCTGAGCAAGGCGCGGAAGCCCGGAAGTTTTGTGCAAAGCCCCCCTTCACCTTGGGCATCTTCTTCCCCTTGCGGAAGTTTTCGGCACGGAGGTAGAAGAAGCCCATGGAGAAGAAAAAAAGAAAGGACAGCTCAACCCATAGGGGAGCAAGAGAACTGTAGACAGCGTGGAGGGTCTGCCCTGCTGTCCACGATGTAGTGAATTCTGCCATGGTCTTGACCACAGCTCGAGAACGAACGCTTTGCTGGGTTTTCTTAGCTGAGAAGCAGACGAGGGTTACCACCCGCCTGCAGAAGTCCACAGAAGACTCAGGATGTTGCCCAACGGATGTTTGGGCCCACTTGCTTTGAGCCCAATGGCGGGAATGCAGCCTTGCAAGCCAAGTTCCAGGTGTTGCAAGCTGCTCACCTATCCGGCAACCGTGGCTTCATCTAGGCTTCTGCTTCTCTTTTTGCACCATCCCTTTCTGCTACTCATGGTTGCGGCACATCCGCAACTGCACTGCGTAGGGAGCGTGCATTCTATGTACAGCTTGACAATCTCCTTGACCCGCAAGTGGCTAAAGCACACACCTGGGGCCGCAACACGTCTGCAAGTGCCAAGCTGAGGGATGCTTGGCAATGCATTGGAAAATCATTGCTTGGCACCGAGCCAAGACGCCGAAGACTCGCTGTGGCAAGTCACTACCAACTAGACCTAATTTGAGATGGTGTGGGGCCTTCAAGGGACGGGCATCTTACTCGAAAAGGTCATTGTCACTGGATGACGTCTGTCTCTCCGTCGTGCTTGCACCATCTTCCTGGCAGTACGGACCCCTATCACAGAAACACATCCTTGGATTCTGAAAGCCGAACAACAAATGTTGCCATGTTGCTTACTTTCTGCGGTTCTGCGCCTCTTCCACTTCCGCAGCATCTTCACCCTCACCATCATCAGCGAAAATCTCGTCCTCATCCTCCTCATAGTCATCACTAACGTCATCCCCGCGCGGGGCAAATATGTCCTCCAGCCCTTCAAAATCAAGCTGTAATCGCTCAGCTGCTGCACCACGTCCTTCCAGCTCGCGCTGGCGGATGAACCTCCGCAATGCCGCGTTGAATGGGAGGGCCGGGTCCTCCCCGTCTGAATCTTCCAAGTGTTCCTGAGTTGCATTGCCAAGGGGAAGTGCTTGGAAAAATTCGGAGTTCCGGGCCAGGTCATCGACACCAGCGGCCCAAATGTCTCCGAAAGTGCCCCGGCTGGGGTGCCAGCCGCCATAGACCAACACACAGCCCATGGGGAGCGAGCAGCCTCCCCCAAAGGCGCGGCCCGGAGCCTCCAAGTCACCGCCCGTGCTCCTGGCCTGGGGCAACGGCGGCTTGCCCCCCCCCAGAAACACCACGGTGCTGGTCCCAGCCAGGCGCGCGGCCACGTGGCCGCGGCCAGCGCCTGGCACGGCGGCCGGGGCCCAACGGAGGCCGAGGCCGTCCAGGTCCAGGCCGCCACGGAGGCGCAGCCAGAAGGCGTCCTGCAGGTCGCGCCCGCCCCGGGGTGGGCCGCCGTTGCTTCCGTCCCCCGTGCCGCCTCCGGCCACGAGAATGGCCGGGCCCAGGACCCCAAAGTCAGCGTCGCGGACCAAAGTGGCGCTGTGGGAGTTCCGAGGCCGGGGCGTCTCACCGCTCGCTGCCGGCTCCAGCCACTGCATGCTGGACAAATCCAGGAGCTCCAGGCAATTTGAGGCTTGACCATCAATACAGCCTCCAAAGACCACTACATAGCCTTGAGGGAAAGCATCCCCTGCAATACTAGGAGGCACAAACGTAGCTGTGTGGTTGGCCCTCGGCACCATCTCGCCAACCTTCAGCCACCTGGCCGTCACAGCCGCCTCCTCAAAGTTGATCTCCATGATGCCATACATGTTACTCTCCTCGCAGTAGCCTCAAGGCCAATGAAACTGGCAACATGCCACCCACAGCCCATGAACTCAGCTCTGAGACCGCCACCCCCGTGGCGCCAGCCGCCGGTCACCAGCACCCGGAAGGAGTCGGAATCGGAGTCCTCGTCGTCCAGCACAGTAGTCTTGGCCTCGTAGCTGGCAAAAGGCCCAGCTCCCCGGATGGGCACCTCACGGAAGTTCAGGACATCCTGGACATTCTGGACATCCTTCAGGTTCGCCACGTGGAGATCCTTCATGGGACCGTAGCCCCAGCCCCCGAAGACGAAGACCTGACCCCTGCGCTGGAACATGCCCGGGGACCCCTCCCGCTGGCCCAGGCCGCGGCTCGGCACCTGGCGCCACTCGATGCTGCGGCAGAGCCGCCGGGCCGTCAGCTGGCGGTAGGCCTCCGCGAAGCCGGGCCGCTCGAGCTCGGGGAACTCCTGCACGCGCGCAGAGCAGCCCAAACAAAGGGACGGCCAAGCAGAGCACGCATAGCACTCATAGCATTCAAAGCATTCAAAGCATTCAAAGCATTCGAACATTCTCAGATGCTTGGCACGTCAAATCTCGGGCCTGCTTCAGAAAGCCCGGCCACAACGAGCTCCTCGGATGGTCCCCAAAACCTTTGGAATGGCACTTGGATGCGAAGCCCAGATAAGCCCAGCGTCTCAGCGTGCTCATCTTGGAGAAGCAACCTCAAGGACCTCGACGCTGGCCCCAATTTTGCCAAGACCTCCAGCCCCTGCAGACCTTGGCAACCCCCTCGCCCCCCTCTCCGTTCTCATCTCTCTCCCATTGCTCGCTCAGGCTCACCCGTGCCAACAGTGCAGGCCAAGTCACTGTGGAGCACTGCTGCAAGCACCTTTGCATGCAACCATTTGCGCGGCATGACAGGATTCAAACCGACTCAGTCACTCCCTACACTCGACACATTCGCAACGCGTTGCCAAGAAGCTTCTTGGCTCAAGTCTGCGAGGCCTTCAGCACAGCAAATTGGACAACGTGAGCAGCAGCAACGCCCAGCCTATACGTTGCACTTCAGGCTTTGTCGCAGCCTTAAACAGGCCAAGCTGGCAAGTTCTTCAGCGTAAACCGCTTTTCTGAACAGCCCGGATACACTTACCCTCTCCAACAAACATCCAGGTTGCTCCAAGCCTGATTGCACCACAGAGGCAAACTGTATGCTTATCTTCACCAGTGTTGCCATTTTTGAAATAGGGCTGACTCACCCAAATAAGATTGTCCAAGCTGCCAAACTGCATGGAGCATAAGAGAAAATCACATACGAGCAATTCAAACCTTTTGGCAGCTTGAGTTTGAGTACAAGTCTTTCAGATGCACAAGCAACACGAGCGACGGTGGCCAGATTCCAATCGAACTCCAAAAAGAACATGAGAAGCACGTCATTCCGCACACACACACACACAGAATTTGCCACTGCCGTGCATGTCCAAGGAGCCAATCTCAATGTCTCTCGGCAAGGCGGAACCTCACTTCGTTCGGAAGCATTGCAAAGCTGTCCGAAGATTCTGGACACCACTGCGAAATGCTAAAAAAGTGCCGCACGCGCCTGCACCCTGCGACGGCAGGCGCATCGCCAGCTCATTTTGCACCTGCGAGCCACATGAATTCCTCAAATGGCAGCATGCGCACGGTGTGCACAAATCGCAGGAGACGTGCATACCCCCCTTGCCTTGAGAGCTTGCACCGCCCACCAGCCTTCTGAGCCATTGAACAGCGGACCAGGCTACACCAGGGAATGCTAGCCAATGCAGGCCGCTGGCACAACCGAGTTGAGCAAGGCGGGAACAGCTACGGGATGGATCGGCTCTTTTACTTCGGTCCTTTGACGTCCTGGCTGCACCAGAATTTATGCCGCCCGGCATCTGCTTGTAGATGCTCAGCGCCTTTCTGGAATTCAAACCACAAAAACCAGCCCGCCCCAATGGAGACAAGGCATGCAAGTGTCCTGCTGACATGTTGCATGCTGAGGCCTTGGCTGCAGTACCCGACGTTGCGGCATGTTGGGCAACGCAATAAGTCGGGCTGCATGGTCATGCAAACAGGGCACCTTAATTGCATCAGAAATGCCTGCCTCAAGCGCCTGCATCTGACAAAGGGCGATTCCCAGCTCACTGGACAACACCTCTTGCAGCAGAGGCGCTGCACCCGGGTATTCATGGACAGCATCATTGGCACATCTGCAGGGTCTGGGCCTGCCAGTGCCATCATGAACACAGCCTGACTTTGCCATCCCCAGCCAGTCCTTTCGGTGCAGCGCATCCTCCTGCCAGGAAATAAGTGAGGTGTGTCACTTGCATCCACTGAGGGACAGGCGTTCTCCAGCCAAGCGCCGTCGCAAAGTGGCAGCCTGTCAACCGCCCTGCCCGATGCCCAACAAGTCAGCAAGTCTCCGCCTTGGCCCTGACTGAGCTGGAGTTTCCGGCTTCCGCTCTGGAAATCCTCTCCTCTGCCTTCAGCTCCCTGGCGAGCATCGTGTGCATCACGCATGCAAGGATTCCGTCCGAGCTCCCGGGCTGTAAATGATGCACAGCGCTCAGAGTGAATTCATTCCACTCATCCGTCTCATCCCAGGATGCCTTAGTCAGTCAGGTTGCTGATTTGGGTACCCAAGCATGCCAGCCAGGGAACGTCAAAGGCAGTGCATTGCAGCAACAGGTCGGCGAATGCCTAGACACGACAACCTCATGCCTGAGTGAGTGTACTTGCATGGTGGCGCTCGAGCCTCAGTTTCGTTGGGTTCAGTGTCCGCTGCAAAGTCGTCAAGAACAACCTGAGATGCGCAGACTGCACTCGTGGCCGCCAAACTGACACCCAAACCAGCTGCAGGCCAAGAATCCGCGAGCACACCACGCCCGTCGGGCAAAAGCCCACCGAACCTAGCATCAACTGACGTCCAAGCCAACAAGGACAAAGAAGTGTCACAACCCCGATGCGGCAAGCTGCTCTGGATGTTTCCCTTTCGACTCATCCAGCAGCTCTTCCAGCACCTGCACCTATATCATACTGGGGTCATGTTTCTCGTGGGCTTTGCTTGGCTCGAATGACGGAAGGAAAGGAAGCACCTCTCCATCCATGATGCTTGTCAAAGCTCGTGCGCACGCTGCTCTCTTGCGCCGGTCCTGCTCCCGCCTTGCACGAACTGAACCAAAACAAATGGCCTACGCCGGAATGCTGGCCAAACAAGTCTGCAGCCAGGCCACGCCAATGCGTACAAGGCCTCCGGCATTGGCAACATTGTAATATGCGTTGAAACAACGGAAAATTGTTGCTTTTGTTCTTGACCTGGCTCCCAATCACCACACAACAGCCGCAATGATGAAGAAGTACGTTCTGCTGTTGCTTTGACCTCCATAAACTCACAAAGCGAATCAGAATCCAAAACACAAGCGAGCTCCGAGCACCGCAGAATTAATGGCCAAAACATGTGGCAAACTCGTGGCAAATCTCATTGGCCGCCCACTTTCGAAGCCACTGTCCTCCCCATCCCCGCCGTGCCTCCGGGACGCTGATGTCAGGGAATTGCACCGAGACCGGGCGCCGCCTTGCATACCTCATTCTCGGTTTGCAAAAAGAAGCGCAGCTTAGCGCGAAACGCACAGAAACTAAAACTGAATGAACTAAGCCGTGAGTGCAAGCCGTGCCAAGCAAAGCTGTGCTGCCACAAGCCCACGGATCCAAGACCTAGCACCAGCAGCAAGGGAGCGCCCAGACCTGAAACAGCAGCTCCCATGGCTCACTCCATGCGCGCACGAGGTGCTCATGTGTGTGTTCAAGCACGCTGTGTGTGATGCAAAAACAGGTACGTCATACGTGCAGCGAGTGAAAAACAAATATCTGCCAGAGCGACAAATCCATCAGTTGCTTCATTGGAGCCAGCAGCACGGGCACAAACGTGATCCTTCAAAAGGGCTGCACAAAGCACTGTGTGACATGCACTGGCTGTGCCGGCAAAGGGCTGTCCCGGCAAAGGGGGTCCTAGCTGAAGCTGGAGCAGGGCGGGCTCAATGTTCTTGTGAGGTACACAAAGCTTGGCAAGGGTCCACCACGCGATACTTCAGCGACCGTCTTGAGTTGCGCGTTTGCTACCGAGCATAACGCACAGCCAGTCAAATGGCTCTTTTCGCGACCCTTGTAGCGACTGGAACGAAGAAGGCTTTGTGACACCGATGAAGGCGTCAAAATTTCATTCAGCGGACTCCCCCGGCTCCGCACGCAAGGCACCTTGTGTGATTCAATGAAGGTTCAACCTGCCTTGGATCTCGTCCCCACACCTGCCCATGAATTCGCTGAGGCCCCTCACACAATTCCCCCTTCATCCAAATGAACTCCGTCATACTCGTGGCGCAGTATCGTGCTCTGCTTTGATACCAAGGATGTTGCAGGCGGTCCAAATCCGATACATAATGTACAGCCCTTTCAGCTTCAGGAACCAATAGAACGTCTTTTCGTCCCTGTGGCTCGCACTTTTGAACCTCACATTTCTAAATTTAGGAGCGGCAACAACGTCATCATAGGTGGGCGGAACTGGAATGTTCTGCTCGTCGACTTCCAGTCGTCCCTCCCACTGATCGCGATGTAGGGGCAAAAGACTCCGCTACCCTTGCCAGCTTCCTTGACCAAGTCTGCCTCGTTGTTGGCGAATACCTTCCACACTTTGAAGAGTACGATGCCAGTAAAGCCAGAGAGGTGTGACGCCTCACCAGACTCGTCGACGCAGATGGCTTTGACTTGCAGGAGGTGAATTGCGTCCGCATCCTCCTCAGGATTGTCCGGACAAACTCCCGCATCATCATCGTCGACATCCGTCCCGATGTCCGATGGGAGGTACGACCTGCTGTCTGCGGATCGTCCCTCACTCATCTCATTGGTGTCGGGTCGTTCTTCCTCGGCGACGATGCGCTCAGCATCCTCCTTTGCTTCTCGCTGCGCTTGCTTCACTTCCTCCGTCACATTTGCGGTGTCGGATGGTTTGGGCTCGTCCTGGTCCAAATGGATCACGAACTTGCCGGTGGAAATGAGCTCACAATCGCATGCCGTGCAATAGCAAAATCCCCTTGGAATGATGACAGCGCACGCTGGGCATACTCTGTTGGAAATACTTGATGGGTCGTCCTCTGAATCTGCTGAGCAAATCCCTGATCTCAACCAACGAGTTGTTCAAAAGCTCGGGCACTTCAATGTTGACGCATGCCTTGACGACCATCTTCTTCAGGATCTCAGCATCCGCAGAGTTTTCATCGTCCAGGAAACTGTTGAGGATTCCAAGAAAGTCCGCTGGGGTCACGCCCACAGTGTCCTTGAATCCTGGACAGGTCTCGCTCTCGACGACGCGGGAGTAGATCCGCCTAACCTCTTTGACAGGTCCTTTCTTCACGGACTTGAATCTCCAGATTGCCCTGATCTCTTTGAAGGGAATGGTCTCGAAGGCGACGATCGTCCCCCCCGATGTGACCCCTGACTGGCACACGGACAATTTCCTTGTTGGCACGTAGATGGCGATGAGGTCATCCCCCTCTTTGACATCGTGCGTTGCGGTCTTGGTCGAGATGTTCTACTGTCCCAAGGTGCAAATACTCCGAAGTGTACCGCCAACCTTCGCGCACCCCTCTCAAGATGATACCTTCCAGGGCTGATGGCTTTGTCACGTGGAATGCTCCGCCCAAGCGGTCGGACATGTTCGGAACAGTATGTTGCAAAGTTCAGCAGGACGAGCAAATCCGAAGTCCGAATGTCCTGATGATGCTCGAATGCACCATGGTTGCCCCCATCCGCCATGCTCGCGACGAATCCAGTCGATGTTGTCTTTTGTCCATCCAGCCGCTATGAGACCCGTCATCGAGTCGATGTCGATTTCCTGGTCGAATCTTACCCATCCTCCACCATTGCAAGGAATAGGGTTCCCCCTCTTTTGGCCGATCTGATGGCGTAGGATCTTCACCAGTGCTTTCGATGTATGGAATAAGTCGCTGTGGTGTGGGATCCAAACGCTGTGTACTCCTTGCACGGCCAATAGGGAAAACTTGTGTCTCTGTTCTGCATGTTCATGACTTCCAAGTGTACTCCCTTTGGCAGTGTGTGGGTCATACACGAAAACCCTTGCACACCTTCGCATACTGCCTCATCACCGGGTTGAGGAATCACAGAGGGGTTTGCTCCACCAAACGAGTCGAGCATGTTGTTGTACTCCTTCATGGTTCCGTTGGGATTCGTGTGTAGGTCGAGCTGACCAACGTGGAGTTCTCCTCCTTCTGCCAAATCAGGCATCTCGGAGAGATTCACAGCGTAGTTGTGCTTGTGGAACTCCTCCCTCGGATAGAATATCGGCTCCTCTGTTTCCGGTTGATGCGATTTCTCATGAGGTTCGCTGGACATCGGCTCCATTTCTTCATCATCATCTGGAACTTCCATGTCGATGTCTTCATCGGATGAAGGATGTCCTTCCAGAAGAAACAGCATCTGAATCTTTCCACGTGCCAAGTCAGATTCCGTTGCTCTTGCGGTATCTTTGCATGTCCCCTCATGGGATTCTTTTCTGCACGTGAGATGGCAACCGCAACAGCTCTGCTCGTCTCGTGGCGATGTCCTCAACTCTTGATTCAGGCTCTTCAACATGATCGGGTTCACGACCACGATCAGCCCCGTCCTCACGATCGGACTCGCCTGCTTTCCTTTTCTGGCTTCCTCGAGATCGATGAACGGGTTCGAGTACGCCAGCCTGTCCATGATGTCCCTGACATTCTTGTTGGGGACCTCCATGTACTTCACAGCCCCGCTTCTCTTCCTGTTTAGGCCCGTCATGTGAGAGGTCATGTTCTCCCTGACGAACTTCAGGAACGTGGCTTCCAGCAATTCTTGTCCGAAGTAGGATATGACGTCGAAGAATCCGAGAACGGTCTCCAATCCATCTCCCAACTTCTCTTCATTGTCGGTGGAGAAAACACGGTATGCCTGCTCTTGACCGAAGCGTATACATCGTTTCCGTAGTCGCGCCATACACGGAATTTGGTCTTTCTCTCTTTCGTTCCATCGGAATGGGTGACGATGTACGACAGCTTGTCAACCCACAGTTGCTTCCCATTGCTACTGCGGAAGTAGTCAGCAAAGGAGTCTCTATCGAGCGTGATGCCTCCAATTTGTGACAGCTCCTCTGCGAACTTCTTGTTGAACAGATTCACGATGAGGTGTTGTACAAAAGTATCCGTGTCCCCATCGAACATGATGTTAGGGCGGTCAGCTCCCTTGTACATGGTATTCTGCTCGATCAGCCCGTTGGCGTGGCAATTGATGCATGTGTCCGCATTGTACAAGTGGTCGGCCGTGGATTGAGCTCCCTCTGCATGACATTGTGCGCAAAGTGAATCTGCAACGTCCTCGAAGCAATACCACTTCGACCGCATGTCATCGCCGTCCTCCTTGCCAATCGCCTTCTCTTCGCTGCTCTTCATGATACGTCTTCTGCTTGTTGAAGTGAGCAGCGAAGTCCGGCTTGTAGTGATAGCGGACGTTACCGCTTGTTGCGCCCTGAGGCACGTTGAACTGCAGCGGGGACACGCCCACACATGCATCTTCCAGGTCGGTAACCGTCTGTGCGTTAAGCGAAAGCACATCCATGATCATCTCGACGATCAGCTTCTTTTGCAACACGTAGAAGGGCTTGGAGTCTCCGGTGCTGCTGTAGTTGCGGTCCGTCAATCCAGATACTTGCTTCCAAACGAGATCGTTGTCGGTGACAATGACGCCCGCGTTCGCGCACATCTCCATCACTTTCGTCGCGGTCAGCATGAGGTTGCCAGTGCTCTGATGGAATTCTGGGTGGTTGTTGATACTCACGAATACTCCTCGCCGCATATGCTTGAAAGTTCGCTCAGAACCTCGAGCAGGCCGTTGTATTCGTAGTTGGTGTTGATCTTCCACTCGAAACCTTGCTTGTGGATGCAGTCATACAACGACATCCAAATGTGTACCGAGCAGTTCGCGACAGGTTGCTTCCATTTGCCGCCACCTTTGAGCGTGTTGATCAATCCTCTGATACGAGCAACAAGTGGGGTGTTTGTACCACGCTTCATATCGTCGGATGCGTAGTATAACATCTCGATGACATTGTTCCATAAATTGTCATGCATGTGGGATTGGAACGTCCTGATGCGCTTCCCAGTTTTCTGCCTCAATGGCCAATCAAGGATGATGTAGGACATGGTCGCGACATCGCACAATTGCTGGCAGGTGAGTTCAGTACCCTCCTCATCTTTGTACCTCTTGATGATCTTCGAGATTCCAGAATTGGCCGTGTCGGGATTGTCGTGACCGTCAATTCAACGCGGTTGCTCCGGGTAGCTTGGCTGAGTAAAGACATCCCGTCTTTGCGCAGATGTATGCATAAAGTTGGAGCCAGGCGAGGTTGGGCTTGTTGAGGTAGGCAGCGATGATCCGGTCAGCTCTTCTCCTCTCATCAAAGATGAGCAAAGTTGTCACCAAATGCCGCAAATACCGTTCCCAGTAGGATGCACTCTTCCCCGCTTTGACTTCTGGTCCAAACTTCGTAGTGGGCATGACGACTCCGGATTTCCTGTGCAAGACAAAGCTAACCCCGATGTTGAGGTTGCCGAAAGCAGTGCACTGTTCGATAATGGTGATCGATTCATTCACGTCATGCTTCTCCGGCATGACCCATCGGTCGTTTTCCCCTTTTGCGGAAATCTCCAGGATCGCCTGGATGGTCTGGTTGACAAC